AGGAAACATAGATAGGGCAGCCTACAAAAGCCAGTCCCCTCCTAACCATGCCCAAGCACTCCGGGTTTGTTGCCGATGTCCATTTTGCTCTCCGAATTCATGATGACCTAACCCTAAGTGGAATTTTCCTCCAATGGGATTCTCCGATGTATTTTACCCGAAAACAAAGATAGGGCAGCCTAGAAAAGCCAGTCGCCACCTAACCATACCCAAGCACTCTGAGTTTGTTGGTGGTTTCCATTTTGCTCTCCGAGTTCATGGTTATCTAACCCTAACCCTAAGTGGAATTTTCCTCAAATGGGATTTTCCCATGTATTTTACAAGAAAAAGTACACAGGGCAGCTTTGAAAAGCCAGTCGCCACCTAACCATACCCAAGCACTTCAAGTTTGTTGACGATGTCCATTTTGCTTTCCAAGTTCATGGTGACCTAACCGTAACCCTAAGTGGAATTTTCCTCTAATGGGATTCTCCCATGTATTTTACCAGGAAACAAAATAGGGCAGCCTATAAAAGCCAGTGCCGTCCTAACCATATTCAAGCACTCCGGGTTTGTTGCCGATGTCCATTTTGCTCTCCGAGTTCATGGTGATCTAACCCTAGCCCTAAGTGGAATTTTCTCTCCGAGTTCATGGTGATCTAACCCTAGCCCTAAGTGGAATTTTCCTCCAATGGGATTTTCCCATGTATTTTACCAGGAAACATAGATAGGGCAGCCTACAAAAGCCAGTCCCCTCCTAACCATACCCGAGCACTCCGAGTTTGTTGGTAATATCCATTTTGCTCTCCGAGTTCACGGTGAACTAACCCTAAGTGGCGGAGTCTCCCATGAATTTTCCCAGGAAATATAGATAGGGCTGCTTAGAAAAGTCAGTGCCCTCCTATCCATACTCAATCACTCCGAGTTTGTTGGCGATGTCCCTTTTGCTCTCTGAGTTCATGGTGCCCTAACCCTAACCCTAAGTGGAATTTTCCTCCAATGGTATTTTCCCAGGAAACATAGATAGGGCAGCGTACAAATGCCAGTCCCCTCCTAACCATACCGAAGCACTCCGAGTTTGTTGGCAATGTCCATTTTGCTCTCCGAGTTCATGGTGACCTAACCGTAACCTTAAGTGGAATTTTCCTCCAATGAGATTTTCCTACATATTTTACCAGGAAACATAGATAGGGCAGCCTAGAAAAGTCAGCCCCCCCCCCTAACCATACCCAAGCACTCCGAGTTTGTTGGCAATGTCCATTTTGTTCTCCGAGTTCATGGTGAGCTAACCGTAACCCTGTGGAATTTTCCTCCAATGGGATTTTCCCATGTATTTTACCAGGAAACATGGATAGGGCAGGCTAGCTTATAGGCTTGTCTCACTGATATTCCCATAGGGATGGCCTAAGGCAGTGGTGGCCAACCTATGGTACTCATGCCAGAGGTGGCACTCGGAGCCCTGTATATGGGCACACGTTCTGTTGTCCGAGCCTTGTCTCCCCCTGCGATCCCCTCCTCACCAGCAGCCCCCCTGGAGGTGAGTCGGCCTCGAGCGTGGCCCACGTGGAGCAGCGCAGCCAAGGACATGGAAGCCAGGAAGTATGGACAAGTCTCTGCCCTCCCGCCCCATCACACACAGTTGATACTGTGGGGCGTGGGCAGAGGGCGTGGCTGCCATGGCAGTGTTGGGCTGCCTGGGCAATCTGTGGCGGACCCTGGAGGCAGTGAGTGGCCTGCTAGCAGATTGGGCAGCAGCCAGTTTGGGGGCGGAGCGGGGGCAGGGCCAGTTTTTGGGCACTCGGTCTCTAAAAGGTTCGCCATCACTAGCCTAGGGAATTTTTTTCAGGATTTTCCCCCCCTCCCCCCCCGTAGTTATCATCTGGACCTAGCCTGTTAGTCTTTCTTTCGCTGCCATCTTACCTTTTAGCAAATTTGGTCCATTTCTGTTCTTGTTTTGGAGGGTTCTTTCCTACATTCCATGTTATGTTATATGGTGTTCCATGATTATATCATATATGAGATGTTTATATAAGAAAATCATGAAAATACATAAATAAAAATATAAAAGTGCAAGGAACAATACAGTTATAAATGGGGAAAAAAAGGGAGTTATTATCTCTCCTCCCTGTTTAAGATTTACATGATTCCCTTCTTCCCATATTCAGTCCTTTTTGATCAGCAAATGTATAAATTGTCAGTACATTTGTTTGCATTTTTAATAAAAAAGTGCATGTATTTTCCATTTTTTATGAGAGTACTTATTGTTTTATCCCTGATTAAACAAGTCAGTTTTGACATGTCTGTAAATTCCTCTACTTTTACAATCTGTTCCTCCTTAATTTCTTCCGTCACCAAGAAACAGGAATATTGCAAGAGTCAGATTCTAGTTCCCATGTAGACACCATTTTTAATGTTATTATATAATAAGTTGACATTTAGAGAGAAATCAAGGGGCACACCTGATACCTGTACATGGCTGTCTTCATATTCGTATTCAAAAGGGCTTTGTTCCAATATTTGTTTTTTTTTCAGGATATGTGTTCCCTCCTCGCATTTTCGTATTGCTTTTTTTGAAATGTCTTGACAGTTACACGAATATGAAGCCTCCAACAACATAAAATATGAACTGGAAAAATGCACCTTTTTAATATAACATTTATCTCCTTTAAAGAACACATGTGAAAATATGCTGGGGCCAATAAAGCAAATATTTAATAGATATGCGGGGAGAAGGGTTTCACACTGTTGCAACAAAGAGCTAATTTAGATAGTAAATGTGCCAGAAGGTGTGGGAAATGAGCAGTTTGTCCCTCCCTTTTGAATAGCAGAGGCAGAGAAGAGACTTGCATCATCTTTTTTTTATATATATAAATATTTTTATTGAGTTTTATAAAGGTAATAAAGGGATAGGGTCAAAAAGGATAAGGCAAAGGGAAACATATAAAAAGGTTAGACCAGGGGAAAGGGGTAACACAAAAGTAGGATTAATCCCACAAAATAACATCGCTTCAGCAAGTCTACCAGTCCGGGTTTACATATTAAATCTTAATAATGAGAATTGCATCATCTTGTACACTACTTCATCCTGGCTATGGAGGCTTAGATTTTTTTTTTCTTTCATACTTTACTAAATTCAAAGGTAGAAGGATAAAAAGTAACCAAAACTATTAATCAAGAAAAAGAACAGACCGAGTAAAGAGACAGGGAAGAAATGCAAAAAAATAAAAAATAATTAATTATTAATTCAGAAAATCTTGAAGATCAACCTGCAGTCGAGACCAGAAGTATTTTTATTGAAGTTGATTGATAAAAATTTAGAAATTCCACATAGTAATCTGTTTTTATATATGATAACAGCAATGAGACTCCTATGTGCTCAATAGTGGAAAAATTCATTAATACTTATAATTGGAAGAATGGCTGATAAAGTTGATGGAATTGGCTGAGATGGTGAAAATGACTGAAGAAAAGACATTGAGTCAGTTTAATGCAGATTGGAAGCCCCTATTAAACTTTTGGCATGAAACAGGAAAAAAATGGAATAATGATAGATTTGCTGATTAGTAAGATTAATAGGTTCTTTTAAAAATGGATGTTATGCTGTAACCATGGATCAAAATCTTAATGTAACTTTTATTTATACAGACTTAGATTTAAATTAGAGGGTAAGTAGAACCGAGGTATCATCCAGGAAAATCTTTGTCCTTCCTGAACTGTGCCTTGTTTCTTCTTTTTCATAGAAATATTCAAGCTTAAGGACCCTTGGACTTACTGTACTTAGAGTTAGAAATCCTTCCAAGCTGCAGCTCTGTAAATCTTTATTGGTTCTATAGATGGACAATACAGTTAGGGAAGAAAGAGGGGAATCCCCTCACCTGTTTCGACACTTAGGGAAGCAAGTTCTGAATAATTGGCTAGAGATAGGTGGGACTGATAACTAGTTTGGAAAAGAAGATAAAATTAGGAAGCCCTTCTGCCCTGTAGTAGCAAGCCTTGGAGCTTCTGAAACCTGGAGAATAAGAGCCTTTATTAGCTTTATTAGCTTTTTGCTGCCATCTAGTGATAAATATCATTAACTTAAAATTGATTGCTACTGTGTTTTATACCACTGCAATTTGGTAGACACAAAAAATGCTGGTCTGTTAATATTGACTTTGCTCAGTTGAAAATGATGTTGCTAATGATCTAAGGCAGACTGTTTATGTGCAGAAATGGTCTCTATTCTGTTATAAAATGTTTAAGTGTAGATTAAAGGCTGGATAGTCACTACTGCATTTCTTTGCTGTTTGATACCAGGGGTGACTTTACTGAGATTTGGATTGGGTAGCAAGCAAACAGAACCAGCTCTCTGTCTCTCTTCAATATACTAAAAGTATACAAAACAACAACAAATGTTAGAAAGTAAGATAAAGAGAAAAAAAAGAAAGGAAATGAAAAAAGAAAAACAGACAATTACGCCTTTCATCTTTTTTATCAAATAAATACCATCTTAATCTTTTCCCCAACCTCTTCATTCCTTTTTAATCCCCCAATCATCAATTTGATCTTTTCTTTTTTTAACAAAATGTCCATGCATGTCCATGAGGTTTCCAGTCTTTCAAAAAAAAGTATTTTTTTTTCTCTGACCACAAACAGAACCAACTCTTTTGTCTGTAACAACGTTCAATTTCTTTTTTGAAATGAGCAACTCAAAGTGAGCAATTGCATTTCAGGGATAAAGTCTGGGGTTGATCTAGAATATTGGGAGACTGCAAATGGACAGCACAAGTTATGGTTTACAGATAAAGCATGCCGATTCTAAACCAAGCATGTTGGCTTATATGAACAAGAACTGTATCTTTTTATTTAGAACAGGGGTAGGCAACCTTGGCTCTTTTATGACTCCTGGACTTCAACTCCCAGCCATGCTGGCTCAGGAATTCTGGGAGTTGAGGTTCACGAGTCATAAAAGGGCCAAGGTTGCCTACCCCTGATTTATAGCAATTGATCATGTTCTCATTTTCTTGTTTCTCTTATGACTTTCTGTTAAGAGAACAATGGGATTCAGTGTTGTGTTTATGCCTTACGCGTTAACACTTAAATGTTTTTCAGCAAACCAGTGTTTGACTCCGTGCAGTTCTCAGAGGTGTGTCCTGGCTCAGGAAGAACAGCTTCTGCAAACGGGAGACCAACAGCTGGCCAGACATGTGCTGCTGTGCCTGCTTCTCATTGTGGGCCTTTTTGCTGTAAGAGTTTCTTTGGTGGGAGGCGCAAACGTGTGATTCTTGATGTGTGGTTGTTTTATCTTACTCTCCATCACAAAGTGTGTTTTTCGTATCAGCTACTAGCGTAATGTTATTTCTAAAGAAGTTAAATCATTATATTTCATTTATTTATTAATCAATTTTATATGGTCGCCCATGTCATAGAAAATGACTCTGATACAACAGTCCAATGAAATGGTAATTGGATAAAACAATCATTACCTTAAAGTGTAATAATTATAAAGCATTAAACTATAAAACAGAACTAAAATTGGAGAAGAAAATAACAGATGGAGGGATGTCAATAATAATGGAGTTACCTCACAAGTTCACTCATCCTCTGGAGTCGCCAGGCCTGCCAGCAGAACCAGGTGTTGAGGGACCTTCCAAAGATCAGGAGTGATGAGTCTGGCCTTATCTCTTGGGCGAGAAGATTTCACAATGCAGGCGCCATAGCCTAGAGCAGGGTAGGCAACCTTGGCTCTTTTATGACTCATGGACTTCAACTCCCAGAATTCCTGAGTCAGCCCAGGAATTCTGGGAGTTGAAGTCCACGATTCATAAAAGAGCCAAGGTTACCTAACCCCTGGCCTAGAGCCTGCCAAATGTAGCTCTCCAGATAATGGAAGTCATAGCACATGTATTCCATGGGATCTGGAGGGAGAGGCAGATGAAATCCAGAAGAGGTGGTTCCTCAAATAACCAGTCCCCTGCCAGGTAGGGCTTTAAAGATTAACACCAGCTCAGGAATTCTGGGAGTTGAAGTCCACGAGTCATAAAAGAGCCAAGGTTGCCTACCCCTTGCCTAGATGAAGGGTGAAGAACCTTTCGCCTTTCAGATGCTATCAAAATGTAACGCCCAGCATCCTTTACCACTGGCACGTTGGCTGAGACCATCAGAAAGGAATTCTGGGAGTTGAAGTCCATGAGTCATAAAAGAGCCAAGGTTGCCTACCCCTGATTTAGGCAATGCTGAATTAGATACTAGGCCAATTGTCTAATGATGTCAGGAAGCTTCCTATGACTTAAGAATCAGGGATTCAGTAGACAATTGCACCTGTACTCATTGTACTTCCATCTGTTACTACAGCTATGTTAGCAAAGCCGTTCCACACAATCTCCCTAAACAAAGGGTGGGTAATTCTCAAAGTGTGTGTCATTTTAGAAGATTATTTACTGGCAGCAACTGCCCAACTACAGCGGTGTGCTTATCCGCTTTCTTTTTTGCAGAAAGAAAATGTATAAGAACTATGTATTGTCATGGTCTTGTTACCCTTCTCCAGAAAGGTTGTTCAGACCTGCTGTAAACTCTTGGTTTTAGTAATAGTAGTCTACAGGGGCAATTCACTAAACTTGGAAAGTTCTGGTGGGAAAAAAATCTGTCTTATAATCCAAGAGAAAGGCCAGTGAAAGTTGTAGCAACAAGATACTCATGGTAGCATGTGTTCATTTGGTTTTTCCTTTACAGAACCTATCAAGCTGCTTGTGGTGGTTATTTAACCAAGAGCCTGGGAGGCTCTACGTGGAACTGCAGTTTTTCTGTGCTGTATTTAATTTTGGTCAGGTAAATATTTATCCTCTGTCTCAAATTAATAATGTGAACTTGTCCATACGTATTTAATAGAATGTTTCATTGAACCCATATATAAATGTGCACATTACAGACTGGAATATGTTTGTAAGGAAGAGAGAGAAAGTGCCTGACTTATTTTTGGCCTATTTTCTTACCGTATATGCCGGCGTATAAGGCGACTTCTGCAAGTGCTAAAATTGGCACCAAAGACAGGGGTCATCTTATACGCCGAGTCGTCTTATACGCCGGAAATACTGGTAGTTTCCGGCGTATAAGACGATGTTCTAGGAATGCGGCCCGGCGACAAAGATGGGGGTCATCTTATACGCCGGGTCGCCTTGTATGCCAGCATATACCGTACCTTAAATTTGATAAAATTAAAACTGCTCATTGTGCACTGACAAATGTTGCTTGTCCACTTGTTTAAAGGGGGAAATAATCCATGTCAGTAGTTAGGGGTGTTTCATTAATAGAAGCCATCCATCCAGAGAAAATGTTTTCCAAGAGAATGCAGATTTAACTGATCTAGATGGTCAAAATGAAGGATTTCAACTGGTCTTCTCCCTAATATGTTAAAGTCAAGCTGACATCCCACTAAAATGGTCCAGTGAAATTTAACCAGGAACTGAAATAATACTCTTGTGCTAATTAAATTCCTTTCATCCTTCCCAGGTAAACCAGACAGGTAACATAACTACTGTAGATGAGTTAGTTCTACCTTATTGTAAGGCTACATTAACAGAATCTTTCATATCTGGACAGATCTCCTGTAACCACTTTTAACCACCCATTCAGTTAGGGCAGGTCCTCCCTAAGTTTTATCTCCTGACTATTAAGTCACTGGGGGCTCCTCCTTTTCATCTTATTGTTTCCCTGGCCTCTCTCTTCCCCTTATTCCCCCAAGGTCATTCTCACATACTGTTAAAATTGCACTGAAAAGGTAATTCAATAAGAAAAAACTCCAAGCACAAAAGCAAATCTGCTTCCTGAAAACATGGCAGCATGGGAAGAGTCACAGGCTTGTTCCTTAAATAATCTTACCTTTATTCTTTCCTACGGAAGTAAAATGCTTTCTGAGAGCTTCAGCTTTATTTTAATTGCACTATCTTCCCTTGAGACATTATTTTTATTTCTTTAATGTTAGCATGCCTGCCAAATTGCTTATTGTTGCTTTTCAAAATACACTGTTCATTACAGTTGGTTCATAGCCCTTAGTTTTCTTACATTCTTAAATTCTCCTTCCAGCAATACAGGTATTCCTCCCTTAACAACTGCCCTGTTTAGCATCCATCCAAAGGTGCTGAAAAAAAGCACTTTATGACCAGGCCTCATGCTTAAAACTGTTACAGTGTCCCACAGTCACATGATCCTCATTAGTGCGCTTTCAAGCAAGCTTCCAAAAACGAGAGTCAGTTGAAAAAGCCAGCAGCCAAATCACAAGTCATGGTTGTGTAATGTCTCACTTAATGAGTACAGGTGATTTGCTTAACGAAGTGAGGTGGTAAGTCCATCACAGTTGCATGATGTCTCTCTTAATGCTGTATTACTTAACGATGGAGCTGCCATTCCCAACTGTGGTTAAGCAAGGATTACCCGTGTGCCCATTTTTTTTTGTTTTGTTTTTGTAAGTCATGTATGTCTCATTATAAAAGGAAGCATGGAAAATTAAGAAACTGTAATAACCCTAGCCGAGATAAACATACAGTTTAGGAAACTGTGATATGAGGAAAGAGACATTGAAAGGAAAGGATATTTTTGACTGACTTTAAAAATCACAGTATTGGGTATTGATGCCTAAGTATTTTTCCATTTCTTGGGCTTGATCCATGCTGTACTCTGAATTTTATTTAAATAAATATAAGCATTGTAAAACAGATTTCTATTCTGTCTTTTCATTCGAATTAAAAACTTAATTTTAGGAATTTGTATACAATTGTTCATCCAAATATTATAGTATTTACTTTTTTTCTTTTTCAGGGATTCATTTCTTTTGGAATGTTTGGTTTAGACAAACATCTAATTATTCTTCCATTCAAAAGGAGGTAATTTTAGTGGTTTATATATCCATTTAATTTCAGCTGCCTTGAGAACTTTTAACTCTGATGTTGCTCCTTTTTACAAAAACAGTAATCTGGTTTATCTTGAAATTCTGCTCCTTTTAATATAGGCATGAAGCAATGCTTTTCTGGTTATTGAGCATCAATTTATATTAATACATTCTGGATTAGGGAACCATTAAATGTTATTTAATTGAATTCCACGGTATTGGTGTGACATATAGGGTTTTGTATGAGTTATTATCCATAAAATACATTTTAAGCTGGTATAAGATTTCTGTATTTACATGAGTATACCGGCTTGGAACCTAGTTATTTTTTCCATGAATGAAATAGTTCTTTCATTCATATAATGTGATTTTATTCTTTCCCTATACAGTTTTTTTTTTCTCCTCACCTCATTTTCACCTCCATCTTACTCCTCAGTAAGCTTGCTTCTGAGGGTTAGGGAGCCTTGTCAACATGTTAAATATGGGACAGAACTAAGAAATATATATACGTGAATTAGGTCAAAGTGTATATGAAAGTAGGAAAAAGAATTTGTTCCCATCCAACTCCTCTTCAGTTTAATACCTAGCTTTAATGTTTGAACTATTTTAATTCTTCAAACTTGTTGCTTAAAAAACCTGTTTGTGACATATTAACCGTACACAATAACAATAAAACTTCACAGGCAAAAATATTTGAAATCAAGTCCTTGTTTTATGCTTTTTTCTCAGACAGTATTTCAAATGGGCTTTTTTTTTTCTCATGTAGGCTTGGATTCCTTTGGGGTACTAGAACTGTGGAACAGAGGGAGTCATCTGTCCCAGAGGAGATCCGAATGACTTGCCAACAGTTTGTTAATTACCACAGAGATGTGTGTGTGAGAAGCATTGTCCAGGATAGAAGGTGGAGTTGTTCATCAGTGTCAAAAGTGATTTAAATTATTCTAATATTCTGGATATCAATTCAGAAATAAATATTTACAAATCAACAGTTTGTAAATATGGATGGGTGTGTACTCTGCATCTGTAAATACCCTTCTTTTTACTAGGAGTATACACAAGACACACGGGTTCCAAACACCACTAAGCAGACAATTGGTTAACTGTTGATCTGCAAATATTTATTTCTGAATTTATATTCTTGGTATTAACTCTTGGTGTTTATATATTTTTTTAATTTATGTATCAAACCATAACATTATCATAAAGAGATTCTAGCACGTAGTTTTAAATATAGAAATCAAAAGCAGTGTAAACAGCTTGAACTAGGAAGTTTAAGCTGATGCTGTTACGAGTACTCCTCGTACTATGGCCAGTTACTTAATGACCATTCAAAGTTATGACCTACCTGGAAAAGGGGAATTATGTCCCCGTTAGGATGGTTACCCCCCCAACACACACACTCATGTAATCACACTTTTGGCATTTGGTAACACAGCAGCATTTACAAGAGTTTGCAGCATCCCATACAATGTATGGTAACATTGTATCTGTGTTTTACAAAGTTTTTGTCAAAAACCGGAAGTTACTTATGGGTTTCAGCAAAACAGTGCCATAGCAAACAATGGGTTTGCTTAATACTGCCACATGTCTTTTACAGCCAGCAAATTTGTTTAACAACTGCCACAAAAAAGGTAAAATTGGGCAGTCATATGACCAACCCGATTTATGATCATAATAGGCAGGCTCCATTACAGTCATATGTGGAGGACTATCTGCAATGAACAAAAGCAGTCACAGAAGAAGATATTATTATCTGACTTCTTTCATGAAGTGCTCTGTGAAGCCAAGAAACTTAAGTCTAACTTGTTAATGATGTGCTTTGCAGTTTTTAGTGATATTTTGAGAAATTTGCTGGCATTCTTAATCTTAGAATCTTCCCTATCTGGTTTTCAGCTGCTGTTTCAACATATTCACATTCTGTGTCTCAAATTTAGGATTGCATATATCCCCAAACTTTCATTTTTGGATATAAAATTCTGTGGAAGTAGCAAATAAACAATTTTTACATATTTGTTCTGCCTTTTACAACTATTTTTAAATTTCTTTATATTTTTTTTTGAAGAGCCAACTTTAAAAAAAGAAAAAGGGATCAATATTGTTTTTTTTTAATCGCTACCACTGTTTGATCTACATATGTTGCAATAAGTGATATAACCCTTCCTTGTTCTCCTTTTCATCTATATTTCTCTCTTTTCTTCTCAGATGAATGCCTGGCATTAGAACGCTAATGTTTGTTGTTGACCCAGCACTGATTTTGTTATAGGTTCCCATGTTACGTTAGTTAAAATTAACATAAGATGATTAATTAAAAGGCTATCTTACATAGTCTGTATGCTGGATTGGCTTAACTTTAGATGATGGAATAGTTGCATTCTTTATGGTAACATTTAATTAGACAAAAACCCTGAAATTCTAGAAAACCCTTTGGAAGAGGGCTTCATGCATTTTTCTTCTATTGACTGAAACGTTGAAGTACCACATCCATTTCAAGGCCTGTTGTGACCATTCCAAGGGCTTCCTGACATTAAGTATGTATGTGGATGCCCAGATGACACTTCTATTGGAAGGAAGAATGTTTTTATACTTGAAAAATAGTTCTTCAATTATATGGCAAGATAGCTTGGCTATCACTGTTGGGCGCTTAGTTGAGGCAGGCAGGTCATAGAAAGACTTTCCACAAGGCATGCATTACTTTCATTGTTGACCTCAGTCCTTATCCCAGTCATGCATAGTAGACCATAATGCTGCCTGAGATACTCAGCATGGGCTTAGAGGTGGTTGCATGCGGTTTACAGTTATGAATGGAGAAAAAAACACTTCCTGGAGTCTGAAATGAATCTGAACCAATTATGCTGTTTCTCAAGATCTTTGTGCATTAGCAATAGCAATAGTACTTAGACTTATATACCTCTTCACGGTACTTTTCACAGCCCTCTCTGAGCAGTCTATAGAGTCAGCATATTTTCCCCAACAATCTGGGTCCTCATTTTACCAAACTCAGAAGATGGAAGGCTGAGTCAAACTTGAGCCGATCAAGATCGAACTCCAGGCTGTGGGCAGAGTTAGTCTGCAATACTGCATTCTAACCACTGTGACACCAGGGCTCTTCTTTAGTTAGCTTAATAAGCATTTTAGGACCAAGAGACCCAAATTTAACCTACAAGAGTGGACAAGTTGATTTAATTCTCCCTAAATTTCTTCCTTTTTAGATTGCAAATGGAAGGCTATGAATGTTTTCTCCATAAAAGAAATATCTTGAGCTTATAAAACCAAAAAAATATTTAATCAAATGCCGTACTAAACAGCATTTACTAAAGCTCTATGTACTTCAGAAATGATTCAGCCGACAACTGCTCTGAAGAAGTGTGATGAGATAAAAAAGAAGCAGCTGTTTTAAGGAGTAGCAGTTGTATTTTTTTTTCCAATTTCTATAGAAACCTGAAAAATTTTTTTATAAAGGCTCCTGAGCTCTCATTCCTTCCCAGAACATATTTTCAAAATAATTTTTGAAGCACATACAGCCATTGAATAGAGTATTTAAGCCTTTCACATGCTAGATTAGGACTTTTCCTTCTGGAATAGAATTTGATATGGTTATCATCTAAAATGTTACCATTAATTCTTCTACTACTGTACAGGTAGTCCTTGATTTATGACCACAATTGAGAACAGAATTTCCATTGTTAAGCAAAGCAATTGTTAAGTGAGTCATGGTTGTTAAGTGAAGCATTGTAGTTAAGTAAAATCACACCGTCATTAAGTAAATCCAGCTTCCCCTGTTGAAATTGCTGGGAAAGTCGCAAATGGCGATCATGTGACCCCAGGAGACTGCAACCATTGTAAATACAGGCCAAGCACCTGAATTTTGATCACAAGACACGGGATGCTCTGATGGTTGTCAATGCAAGGACCGGTTGTATGCCACTTTTTGCCACTGTTAACTTCAAGGAGTCGCTAAACAAATGTTTGTTAAGTCAAGGACTACCTGTATATAATTCCAATGGTAATTTCTGTGATTAAAGATTAATTTCAGATTTTAAGATTATAGATAGCAAACTAATAATAATTTTACACTAACCTTATAAGATGTTCTGCATATCCTAGCTTTCATTAGATGGTTGCATGCATTTTGGCTGATTAAAAAGGCGATTGAGACCTGCCAAAAAGGAAAACATCTTTAATATATACTTGGCTATTAGTCCTTCTTTTAACAACCTTCTAACTATCATGCTGTCTTTCCTTGTTTCCCCTTGTCTTCATCCAACAAGCAGTGGTGATACGAGATTTACAGAACATGTGGGTGAATCCTTCCTTTGACATACAGGTGTGGCACAAAGACTGTGACTGGAGTCTTCTTCGGCTGTGATCTGGTGAACTGGCTTTTGGAAGTTGGCCTTGCCTTGGACCGCGGGGAAGCTGTAGTGTATGGAGAGAGGCTGGTGAAAGGCGGCATCATCCAACATATTACCAATGACTTTGAATTTCGGGATGAGCGACTGTATTACCATTTTACAGCTATGACAACTGCAATAAGGGACAGCCGAGGGAATGAAGACGCCCATGGAAGTTAGCCAAGACCAAGCCCTCTTACTCACATGTAATGCACACAGTTTGAGATCCTTTTGCTTATAACGTGGCCATGTTGATCTCTAACCCAAAGAGAATTAGGTCTTGCATTCTGAATGTTGGCTAAAATGAGTTGCTTTAGGGAATTACTTCAAATTGTGATAGGCGCGTAACAGGCTTTATGCTCAGTTTTTTTAAAAAAAACATAGTTTTTTTTAAAAATAATTTTCCTTGTCAGTACAGACAATACTGTGGACAAATCAACTCATTGTTATCATGTGATGTATTATTATTATTTTTTTTTAAGGGAACAGTAGATCATTTTGGTGTGTGCAGTTCTTACTCTTGTTTTAACTGGGAAGTTCGCTTATTTGTACTGGCAAAATAACTGTGTTAAAGGATAGAAATAAGAAATCAGCAAATGAATTTTGCTGTTTATCCTGATTCTTATACGAGTAAGCCAGTTTTAATCTTTAAAGGATACAGGTCTCTGTTTATCCATCTGTTTCAATCTGAACGAGATTTAAGGCACCATAATTGCGAGCTGGAGTTCTTCTTCAGATAAAATTTGTTTCATAATTTTTCACCTTGGTTCATTAGGCACGACTACCAAAAGTGGACCAATTTATTTCACAGACTGCAATCAGTTGGAGTCTGTAGATGCCATATTTATTTTGTACTTAATAATACCAAATTAATATTTTTTAAATTGTTAAATTGTACTTGAGTACTACTCTTGATATGCAAATTAAAGAACTTGAATTGACTTCTTAAATTTTAATTTTGCAATGCAAATTTTTAAGTATTCATAGAAATATGAATGTGTGTTTTCACCATGAAAGTAATGTATTTTTAAATGCATATGTTTATTAAAAACTCTGGTAATTTTTTAATTCTTAAGCAGCATTATAGAATAATAAGAACGCATGAACATGTTATTGGCCTTTTTAAAGTGAAGAAGAATCCTTAAATATTTTTTCTGAAAGTGGTTCATCAACAATATCGTTAAAAGAAGCAATTTGTCATGTTTCTTCAACTATTAAGAAGATCTGTTGGTTATCTTTATCTAACCACTATTTTTTTTTTACCAGATGCATGGCACATTTATGTATGGATATGTTTTATATTTATACAAATATAGATTATATTTGGAAGCTGGGCTTATTAAAATTATGGCTATTAACTCATAAAGAGTTAACTCTGTAACACCCTAAAAATAATGAACCTTTTCATGTTCACAATCTTATGTATTCAGACATAAAGAAGTGGGGGGGTTAGTTTTATTTTTTTACTATCAATACAGGTGAATTGAAATACTGCCAATATTTCTTCTGCATTGCATAAAAAAGGCTATCTTCGAAAATGGGAAAAAAGGTTTATATAAAGTCTAATTTGTAAGTTATCTACAGCTCAAATGAAAAGCGTGCTGTATTACAAAACCCAATTATTTTTTTTAAATTGGGAAGAGGTATGGTGAAACATGTTCCTGAAAGTAGTAGATTGATTTTCTTGCTGTTCCAGTTACTCAATAAATACAGCTATCCTGACTTGTATAATATTCCTTGTTAAGAGTTGAAGCAAAAAGTTGCACTATATGCTTTTCACTGCTTGTGGTTCAATTCTTAAAGTATCCTTAAATTTAGGCTAGACAGACTGTGTTCAAAGATCAATCTATACACTGGGATTATTTAAACATCATTTATTAAATAAATCATTTAATTGGTTCATACAAATATTAAGCTCCAAATTAACCATAGTTTAAATTATGATTTAATATAATAGGTGGATTCAAGCTTAAAATCCAGAGTGCCACGTAGAGTATTCAATTTTAAGTTTGTGACATTCAGCTCTAGATAAATTGTATCTGCCAACATGGGAAGATGGCATTCCTTTCTTGATATTTTTGCTATTGTAATAGCAATTATTTTATTTTTCATAATATCTGATACTACATAAGAATCTTTTTTTGCTACGGATGTAATTTCTTATTAATTCCTTTGTTCTTGAATTCATCATATTTTTATATATACCAAATTGAGACATGCAACTAATTATTAATTAATTGTGCAATTTTATTCACATATTAAAACTTCTACAGTACCTAACTACCATAGGCATAAGATTGCCACCTGAATGAGTTTCTGCCCAAATTTAGGCTTTCAACTCAGGAAATACCCCCTTTTTAAAATTAAAAGTTATATTTATTTCATTAGACAAATCAGGACTTAAATGTTCCTATGACTTGACTGCATCCTACTTCATACCTTTCTATACCTGGCTCCCAATAGTCCTCCTTTATTACCTGAAAAACATTAATTTTGATTGTTTTTTAAAACCAATGTTAACATTCGGCAGCAAAATGTCCTACTTATGAACACTGGATTAATTGCTTGAGCTTTTCTTTTCTTCCACTTACTGATGAGAAACCAAAGAAGGAATGAAACCTGAACCCAACAAGGTCCTATGAAGCTTCTCACAAACATTCACTATCACAATGTTTATATGGTAATCTTTCCCATTAGCTACAAATTTTTGTTTTCTGCTGATTATTAGCAATTTTTGCAGAAGTGTGTTGAATTATATTTGACTACCACCAACTTCAGATGATTCTCCAATAAAAATAATGTATAGAAGCAGTGAAATGATGCTATTCAGTGAAGCCTATTTTTCTAATAGGGGCCAAATGCATCTAAATTTCTATTGGATTGTGAAATCCAGTGCATAATGATATTGGAAATAAATTTAACATCCTATTCAAACTATCCTGATGTATCAAGTTTTTAATACAAGCTTTTCAGGACAGAATTTTTATTCTTTTAATCCTTTGTCAAAGACTAAGTCTGTATACCAATTCAAATTATATACAAACATCACTGTATATCGTTATTTTTAGATTAAAGGCACTAGTGTTAACCATATCCACGTTTTCATACTTCAGCAACAGAACTGTACAGAAAGAAATGCTTTCTTGAATTCTTAAAGTTGTTTTCTTAAATAGTCATATTTGTATCTGAGAAGCCATTTACAAGAAAATGGAAAATGTGCTGTAGTTTATTTATTTATTTTTATTTTTAAAATTTATAAGCCGCCCCACTCCCGGAGGACTCTGGGTGGTTAACAATAAAAACACATAAAACATAACAAAATGAACAGCACAAGAACAGTCATCCAGGGGTCAGATTTTATAAACCCCAGGCCTGCCGGAAAAGCCAAGTCTTAAGCAGCTTACGGAAAACCAACAGGGTGGGAGCAGTCCTAATATCCGGGGGGAGCTGGTTCCAAGAGGTGGGCACCATCACAGAGAAAGCCCTCCTCCGCGGCCCCGCCAAATGGCACTGCTTGGCCGACGGGACCTGAAGGAGGCCCAGCCTGTGGGATCTAACCGGACGAAGGGAACTATGAGGTAGTAGGCGGTCTCACAAATAGCCTGGCCCTGAGCCATATAGGGCTTTAAAGGTAATATCCAACACCTTGAATTGGACCCGGAGACCAATAGGCAACCAGTGCAGCTCACGGAGGATAGGTGTAATGTGGGTGTATCGAGGAGCACCCACTATCACTCGCGCGGCTGCATTCTGGACCAACTGTAGTCTCCGAATACTTTTCAAGGGTAGCCCCATGTAGAGCGTGTTGCAGTAGTCCAGACGTGAGGTGATGAGGGCATGAGTGACTGTAAGGAGAGCCTCCCGGTCCAGGTAGGGTCGCAACTGGTGCAACAGACGAACTTGTGCAAAGGTCCTCCCAGCCACAGCCGTCAAATGATGTTCCAAATTCAGCTGTGGATCAAGGAGGACACCCAAGTTGCGAACCCGCTCCGAAGGGGGGTATATTTTCCCCCGCAAGAGTCAATACTGGACAGTCGACATGGTCCTTGGGAGGCAACATCCAAAGCCACTCAGTCTTGTCAGGATTGAGCCTGAGTCTATTAACCCCCATCCAGACCCTCACGGCTTCGAGGCAACGGCCCATCACATCGGCTGCTTCACTGAGAGAGCTCGGGGAGGAGATATATAACTGAGTATCATCAGCATACTGATGAAACCTCACCCCGTGCTGTCTGATGATCTCACCCAGCGGCTTCATATAAATGTTAAATAGGAGGGGGGAGAGGACCGACCCCTGTGGCACATTGCATTCAAGGGGCCTCGGGGTTGACCTCTGCCCTCCCACCAATACCGATTGCAACCAGCCAGAGAGGTAGGAGAACCACCGTAAAACGGTGCCTCCCACTCTCACCCCTTCAAGCCGTTGCAAAAGGATACCATGATCGATTGTATCAAAAGCCGCTGAGAGGTCAAGTAGCACCAAGACAGAGGAATAACCCCTGTCTCGGGCCCGCCAGAGATCATCCATCAGCACGACCAAAGCGGTTTCTGTGCTGAAGCTGGGCCTGAAGCCAGATTGAAAAGGGTCTAGATAATCTGCTTCATCCAGAGACCGTCGGAGCTGGAGCGTCACCACTCTCTCTACAACCTTCCCCACAAAGGGGAGATTGGAGACTGGACGGAAGTTATTTAAGTCAGCCGAGTACAGGGTAGGCTTCTTGAGAAGGGGCCTCACAACCGCCTCCTTCAAGGATTGCGGGAAAGACCCCTCCCTCACGAAGCGTTGATCAACACCTGGAGCCAGCCTCGTGCCACCTCCTTGGCAGCCGAGACCAACCAGGAAGGACAAGGGTCCAATAAACAAGTGGAGGCGCTCATTGTTTACAATCCTTCGTTTTCTCAACAGCCACTTTAGTCTTTACAATATTTTGGGGTTGATTTGGTTAAAACATATTAATTCCAGAATTAGTTATTTCACTTGTTTGTTTTATTTATTTTGCTTCTTGTCCAACTAGATTTTTAAATGTTGAAGTTGCTGGGAGTTGAGCAACATATAAATTATTGTTATTAACTCTGCTTATTAAATGTGTATGACACTTGGCCATTAAGTGTATGCAATACCAAACAAATACAGGCTGAAAACAAATGCAAAGTAAACGAAGCTAGTAATTTTGTAGATATTTTAAACTTTGGATGGCTGCATGTCACATTTTAAATTAACAATTATGTTTTATTAAGGCTAATGCCAATATTTTATCTTCCAGCTAGCTTACACATGATAAATGCTATTTGGCCAGAAGTAGCATTGTACAATGAATAAAGCAGTTTTGGAAAATAACACTTGGATTAATAAAAGGAAACATCTGCAGATATTTTGTCAGGCATATATACTTATTTCTTTTTCAACACAATCTGAAAAAAGATTAACTGCTTCATCAACATTCAGGAACCCATTCTGGAGAATATGTTCCATCTCATCAATCTTTGTTTTCTCCAATTTGTGGATCTGTTCCATGATCAGTTTGGCCTTTTCCTATAAAACATATTTGAAAATAGAACCAAATATAAATCTTCTGCATAGCAAATGCTTGCTACAATTAATTTTACATGAGTCAGTTGGTTCTAGTGGTTAGAATGTTAGACTATATAGAGACCCAAATTATAGTTCATCTTCAGCCATAGAAAGTCACATGCTGACTTTTGTCCAGTCATTTGCACCCAGAAAAATTTCACTGAATTGTTTACTTTATTGATGTATTCACCACATTTCTACATCACCCATCTCATTTAAGTGATTCTGAGCAGGTAACAATATAAAATTGCTGTGGAGAAAAAAAAGGAGCACCGTATACATTGTTGTGAGCTCCTGAATAAAAAGTGAGATATAAATTAAACATGTTTTAAACAAGTAACATAATGGGGAAAATAGAGGGAAAGGTTTGCAACAAATGTTGAGTCTTCAAATAAATTATGAATCCCTTAACAAGCTCCTGCTTAAGACTCCAATCAATCTGAGAAGCAGCCTCTTGCTTAACACTTTATAAATTTCTGTCTTTTTAGAACAGTGTTTCTCAACCTTGACAATTTTAAGGCATGTGGACTTCAACTCCCAGAATTCCACAGCCAGCATTGCTGGCTGTGGAATTCTGGGAGTTGAAGTCCACATGCCTTAAAATTGTCAAGGTTGAGAAACACTGTTTTAGAAGGTGTTAAATGGTCAGATGTAAGGCTAGTGGCCTTGCACTTAAAGCAGATAGTCCTCGGCTTACAGCCATAATTGGGACCAAAATTCCAATGTTAAGCAAGGCAGTTATGTTAGGCTGCAGAATGGGGCAACTGGCTGTCCCAAAGGATCTCACCCGGCAAGACCTTCCCAGATCTCTCTCTCTTTTTTAGCTTACAATCCTTCATATTCAAAGCTACACAATTGCTCTGGGGTATATGGAGGTGTATACCTCGCATCTTATCCACAGGTAGATAATAGATGATGACATAATACAAAATGTCATGAATCATTTCCTGTACTGTCATTTGACGGAGCTATATAGTCTCAGTCAACAGGGGCTATCTCTTGAGTGTAGGCCCAGCTTTTCAAGTGAAGGCATCACATTGGGAGCATTATCCTTGTTGAAAGCACTGAGGATCCTGGTAAGTAAACAATTCGGAAAGGATGACCCAATGGGGTCACATGCCTCCTAGATATTTAAAATTAAGTTTAACAACAGCAGAGATCCCAAAGGTACTTTTTTCAAAAGGCAACTGGACTTTATTTTTCCTTTAAAGATATTTTGCTTCTCATCCGAGAAACTTCTTCAGGTCTTAGACAGCAGCAGAGTTCCAATTGTGATGTGATGCTCAGAATGTCTTCTCCTACACCAGGGGTAGGCAACCTTGGCTCTTTTATGACTTGTGGACTTCAGCTCCCACAATTCCTGAGCCAGCCATGCTGGCTCAGGAATTCTGGGCGTTGAAGTCCAGAGTCATAAAAGAGCCAAGGTTGCCTACCCCTGGATTAGTCAGTTTAAAGGAGCTTTCAGAAGTTCTCCTTGTCTACTCTTCTTTCCTCCCGGGGTGAGGGGTGGGGGGGGGGAGGTATTTCATCTGAATATACATCCTGGGCACACAAAAAAATCCTGGGTAGAGCGACCTTTCTCAAACATGCTGGGTAGGGCTGATAGGAGCTGGAGATCAGAGAAATTTGGAGGCACACACTGATGTTTATACAAGGACTAGAGCAGGGATAGGCAATCTTGGCTCTTTTATGACCCGTGGACTTCAACTCCCAGAATTCCTGAGCCAGCATGGCTCAGCTTGGAAACCTCTTCCTTTCCCCTCAGCATGGCTGGCTCAGGAATTCTGGGAGTTGAAGTCCACGAGTCATAAAAGAGCCAAGGTTGCCTACCCGTCCTACACCATTGGTCCTTTGCCCTCTTGGCAGGGAGGAGGTAGGGCAGCAACAATCTCACTGCTAGATAATGCATTGTGACGTCATCACCCACCTTGTAGTCTGCTCCTCTAGGCCATAGAAGCATTCATGGAAATAAAGGTGACAGAGAGTGGCATTCTGCTTTGCAGCTCACCAGGTTTTTATTGCATTTTTTTTGCTTTTGGTATTGAGTATTTTTGGCATCCCAATCAGGTGGCAGACACTCGATGGATGTCTGTAAAACTCTGGTTGCCAGTCCTTATCTTAAAAGCAGATAAATTGTAGGATAAATGTAGAACACTAAGACCTCCCTTCTGATAAAACTTTGGGGGGGGGGGAAGCTGGAAATATCAATAATTAAATTTCTTTTTCAGACAAAGTTTCTCATTATGTTTGCAAATTTTATTAATACAGTTGTGATGTCATGCGACCTCACAAACAAGGTACTGCCTCAACTGTGAAAAAGAAACTTGTTGGCATTTGGGAACAAAGTGAGAACATTTCTGACACACTGCATCCAAAACTTTACCTCTAGAAATTGTTTTGAATTCTTTGTTGTCTGTTGTGGTATGAAAGAGAAAAAAGTTTTATGGACTTAATGAAGACTCTTCATAGGGAACATTTATGGCCAAGTATCTAGATTATTATAGATAGTTCAAGAGATCCATTGCTGTATCCCCTACTTAATAGGATTTACATTTTTTAAACAATTTCAGGATTAATATTGTTTTAATATGTTAATATTTTATTTTGTTTGTATTGATTGTAAACCTCCTACAGTTGCTTCTAGGTATGATGGGTCACATATAAGTGAAACAAATAGAATAACAGAACAGGAAGAGATCTTGGAGGTCATCTAGTCTAACCCCCTGCTCAGGCAGAAAACCCTATGCCATTTCAGATAAATGGTTGTCCAATCTCTACTTAAAAGCCTCCGGTGTTGGAGCACCCACAACTTCTGAAGGCAAGCCATTCCACTGATTAATTGTTCTTAACTGTCAGGAGATTTCTTCTTAGTTTTAGGTTGCTTCTCTCTTTGATTAGTTTGCATCCATTGCTTCTTGTCCTGCCTTCAGGTGCTTTGGAGAATAGCTTGACTCCCTCTTCTTTGTGGCACCCCCTGAGATATTGGAACATTGCTATCATGTCATCCCTCGTCCTTCTTTTCATTAAATTAGACATATTCAATTCCTGCAACCATTCTTTGTATGTTTTAATCTCCTAAATCAACTTTACTGCTCTTCTCTGCACTCTTTCTAGAGTCTCAACTTCTTTTTTTATATCATGGTGGCCAAAACTAGATAGAATGTTTTAAGTGTGGCTTCGATGTAAATAATATTGAAAAGAAGGAGCACAGTGGCTCATGTGGTTAGGATGCTAAGATGACAATTGGCAGGCTCACGTTCAAGACCCGGTTGTTGCTGCTGCGGGACTGAGTGAGCTCCTGTCACTCGCTCCAGCTCCTGCCCAACCCATCAATTTGAAAATGGGCAACCAGATGGGTACCACTTTGGTAGGCAACTTAATGAGGACATAAAAGGAGCCCCCCAGCTGGGCATCCTCTGGGCAGCGGTGATGTCACTAGCTAATGCTTTCAACCTGGAAGTGCCTTGGTGCGCCCTAAATGACTGTAGTAATACTCTGAAGAGGAAGGATCTGAAGCAGCCCATCTAGGTACTTAGATATTGCTTGAAACATCTATTAAGGGCATCCAGGATTTCAAAGGATAATATTCTAAAAAGCATCAAAACAAGCATGATAAACAGTTGGGAGGATTTGGGTAGAACCTGGTGGCTTTGAAAGAAGCTTAAGGATAGATTACTTTAAGTATCTTTAGCAAATTTCAGAGAGCATGGTTCTACTGCATCCAGAACAGGGGTGCAAGCATGGCTACAAAGATCTCTGAAAAGTCTCAGACAAGAATCCTTGAATGAAGCCAGAAACAATCTGGGAGAATGACTCCAGGAATCCATACAAAGTGTTCAGAACGGATGTCCTGAAGAATCCAGGCAATATGTGAATAAGTGGCTTGATATAGCCTTAAATCACCTCCAAAAGGAAAAGCCTGAAACATCCCATCTAAGTTTGGAGGAGTGGTTGGAAGCATCTAGACAAGGTCTGCAAGGAGAAATATTTAAAGAGATGACTTGCAGGAAAGATTCTGAAATATGGAGGACAAAAGCACACGTTTACAAAGGAATTCCTTCTCAACAGAAAACAGGTATGTAAAGAGCCAACATATATTAAAGGTGGACCAATTCCTGTTTTTTTTTCCTCTCTATTCCTTATATATTGAGCCAAAAGGGAAATTGTTTCATTTCGAGTTCTGTCTAGCAAGATTTCTTCCAAGGGGAATTAAAAAGGAAGAGGACATACCAACTATTTGTTTGAGATGAGTTTCAGGGAACAAAAATCTATTTAATCCAGAAGCAGAATTTAAGTATGTTAAGCTAAAAAATGAAAAACATAGGCCAGAGGAAATAATTAAAGCTACAACTCAGAAGTTACAAAAGGAAGAAGGAGAGCTTGAATGTGAAAGGAAGCAGACTGTGAGGACAAAAGGCACGTGAGCACGTGACAAAGTGAACTGCAGCTAATGAAACCTGATGCCTTTTAATACAAAATATTAGTCTTTTCTAAGACGTTACTAGACTCCTCCTGATTTGTCACCAAGAGTTCAATAGGAATTCTGAATATAAATGGTTCAAGCCCTCACATCACTTGGAAAAGATCTCTTTGTGAAACCTTGCAAAATCATTCCCAACAGGTACAGATTAGGAACATAGGGCCCATCATTTGTTCTTAATAATGGTACGAGACTCCTTCAGTTTGGCTATCTGGGGCTATTAGGAGTTGAACTAAAAACACAGGGAAGGCTACATGCGCCCCAGCCTTGGTGCAGAGAATATTCAAAATAAAAGAACAAGATATATTCCTTGATATATTCCTCACTAGAGGTCTCAGGGTTAAATGCTGCATCTTTCTCTTTTGAATCTCAAGTCAGAGCCCAATAAGGACTGGAGTCCCTGCATTTAAGGAAAACAGTTACTCTTTTTCTTAGACCAGGGGTAGGCAACCTTGGCTCTTTTATGACTCGTGGACTTCACCTCCCAGAATTCCTGAGCCAGCCATGCTGAGGAGAAAGGGAGAGGTTTCCATGCTGAGCCATACTAGCTAAGGAATTCTGGGAATTGAAGTCCACGAGTCATAAAAGAGCCAAGGTTGCCTACTCCTGACCTAGGCTAGGAGTGATAGAAACGCTACCTTCAGATGGCATCATTTGGCTTCCATGAAGCTTTATCCCTTCATGGGAGCTATTTTATCAGTAAATAGATCTTGTGAAGGACATCGTGAATCCCTCTCTATGCAGGAGATTCACAGATATAGCCCCACAGCAGATAATTTAGAGCAGTGGTTCTCAACCTTTCTAATGCCGCGACCCCATAATACAGTTCCCCATGTTGTGGTGACCCCCAACCACTTATACATCACCGGGTGCCAGGGGTGTGGCCAAAGAAAAGGGGGGGAAAAATGGCGGACAGCCTTGTTTGGCGACCCCCGTGAAATGGTCGTTCGACCCCAAATGGGGTCCCGACCCACAGGTTGAGAACCACTGATTTAGAGTGACCTTTCTCAAATGGGATTCTATAAGAGATCACTACGACTTTCATTATATATATATAAACTTTGTGCACCATGTAATGGCAGTAAAAAAGTTGAAAAAACTGCAAATTCAACTATTGGTCGATTTAAAATAGTTTGAATGTAGAGACTAAAAAATACAAAAGCTGTGTCTGAGGAATTAAGAAGCAAAAATGATCCGAAGATTGTCACAGGACCTCTTGCAAATAGGTGAAATCTAAGATTTGTTTTTTTAAAGTCTTGTATATAGTGGTTTGTGATATAATCTGGTAATTACTTTTACTTGGGAAGATTCAACGAGAGTTGCAAAAAAGTACTGAACTTTCTAGAGGGAGAGCCGTGTTAGCAGTCTGGAAACAGCTTTTCCGACTAACACATTTAATAAAATTAGCCATTTAATAAGATTTACTAGTAGGAAAAGGTGCTTTCAAAAAAGATTGCTTTCAAAAAAGAAATGAAATTTATCTGAGAACTGAAATAAATTAATTTAATAATGATATTAAAACCACTAAAAATAGGTTCTACTGTTCTATCAAATCATATTTAATGTGTGGCTGTTAAAAGTATAGTTATAAAGAATTTTGGGGGGAGTTTACTGAGAACGCATAAAACCTGCTCCGACTTCCATAAATTCATGTTAACCCTATGTCTGAAAATTGATATGCCAGAACAATTTTTCAATGTCTATCAGCTCATACAAACACAACAGATTCTAGACGTTCTTACTTTGAATTTCAAAATTAAATCGCAATTCCTAGATCAACCCACCTTTGAGGACTCCATCATGGCAACTGCCTGTTCATGTTTTTGATAGAGCTCATGTCTCCTATCTGGCTTTGTATGAAATCGTGGCTTCTTTTTAACTGGATCCTCAGGGCCAAATACTGGAGAGCTGGTTTTTAGAAGCTGGGTAATATTTTCCACAAAAATGAAAGGTTTAAAAACAGACCTGCAAAATAAAATGAAAATAAGCAAATATGCAAATTAGTTGCTACTTTCACATTCCAGTGCTATATTTTATTCAGCATAAGTTCCAGGAGAACCTAAATTTTCATATCAATTCTCTCAATCACAGTCTAGTTGATTGGATAGAAAAGTTTCTGGAACCAAGAAGATGGCTTACCAGCAGATAAAGAGTCCTAGCGTACTTTAAAAAAAAGAAAGCTTCCAGCCCAAAACTACTGAAGCATTAAATGCCTTTCCTGTTGCAGAATCGGCTTAAGATGAATCAGAATTTTTATCAGATTCTTTAATCCTGTACTTTTCTAAAGCTTCTACTGATCTTTACTTAGGCTGGGTCATATTTAGTACTTCTGGAAAGGTTTCAAGCCTTTTGTTTATAGATTATGCGTCTATAGATTATGTTTACTGATTATGCAGCTGCAGATTATGCAAAAGAGACAATCAACCAGCCCCAAAGAGAAAAAGATTCCAGCACCTCCCCACCAATGATCAGCACTCAGATCAGCATAGATTAACTTCAAGGTCACCTTCAGACCAACAATCAAGTAAGCAACACCCCAATCAAGAAACTGCCAAAAAGCCATTACTAAACAGCCCAACCAAAGAATCCCTACCCACACAGACATCAGCATATAAACTGACAGCAAACAGCACTTTTTACTAGCACTAATGATGATACTTATCATAGTTAGGGTGATGAAAGGTGTGTAAGAAAACAAGCAAGCTCAGAGAGCATCAAGGACCCCCTCATTTCAAGCCTTTTATTTAAAATGGCAAAAAATAAGGGAATGGTTAAGATGTTGTTCTTATGACACATTTTCTCTGCATTACCTATCAGGATCTGGCGTTCCAGTGAAGAAATGAATACAAGGGAGACTAGGATCTTGGGGAAGTATAGAAACCATGCTTCCCGTGGTCATGAAGGCACCTTCCATGTTCAGGCCGCTCTCTTTATCTCGAAGAATTGTCATCATTGTCTCAGCTGTTATGTTACCTAGATAAGATAGGTTATTTGTTTAATACTGTATATACCACCCATTTAATATTTATGCAAAATTGCTAAAAAGCAGGAATAAAGCAACTTGCATATTGGTAAGAAATGGCAACACAGTAATTTTTTTCTTTTCAACTTTAAATTTTAAAGTAACTGCTAAAGACTTACCTGTTTACTCTGGCAACCCCTGGAATTTTTGTGGCCCTGCTGTATTTGTTATGGTTCATCACACAGCCAGACAGATGTCCAGACTGGATTTGTCTGACTAACGAGTTCTTCCCAAGGACCTGATATATGCTATTACTATTACTATTATTTAATTTTAAAAAATATTGTTTTAAGCTTTTAATTGTGGTTTATTGTTGGGAGCCAGCCTAAGTACTGTGAGGTGATAGTGCAAGGAGTACCTCTAAATAAATAAATGTGCTTGGTATCTTTTTCTCAAATGAGAGGATATGAAAAGCACCATTTTGGTCTCCGCTTCTAACAAAAAAAAAAATACTGGATCACACCTGCAGTTTCTGTTGTAGAGAACAGAAGTCAAATGGGCTTCTGGTTATGCAGAGAAAAAGATAACAAAAAATCCTGCAGGAAAAAGTAAGTAGAGCAAAACAGGAAAATATAAGAGAGCAAGGTGGAGAAAGAGCTGTTCCATGAAAATGAGAGATGAAGCAGAAGGCAAGAAAGAAGAGCAGAAGTGGGAAGGAAGGAAGGAAGGAAGGAAGGAGGAGGAGGAGGAGGAGGAGGAGGAGGAGGAGGAGGAGGAGGAGGAGGAAGAAGAAGTAGAAGTAGTAGTAGTAGTAGTCAAGGCACATGATCAAGAGTTGGATGCAGGCTGGAGATTAGGCAGTCTTGAAATAATCAGCAAAATCTTTGATCTCAGGCATCTGTAAATCTAAAAAAACCCCACTTTCTTTGCATGGTGACAGTCACTTTTCCAATCTAGATTTTCAGCATCTCTTCCTGTAAATTCAGAATATTCAGTAACCATTTTAAAATAGCAATTGCAGTATTTAAAGCAATTCCTTTGTATCAATTTTAGAAGTTTTCCTCTTAAATAAATGAAAATAAAATCTTTAGAGATCAGGGAGGTTTACAGCAATGTTTTTCTCTCAACTAAGTTTAAAAAAAAAACTCCTGAACTGACTGATCACTTGATCACTGGTGTGACTTAAAAAGTGGTTCAGGTAAGTACCTGAAAAATAGGGATTTAGCAGAAATATACTAATAGAACTCCAAAACATCCTTAACCTTAAACAAGTATTAAAAAGAAGTTCATCATGAAAAACCTGCTATTTTGCCAATGAATGAAATTTGCATGATTATAGGACAATCATACAGGCAAGGAATCCCCAGTAAAATGAATATTGAAACAGAAGGGTGCAACTGTGTTTGGCTTGTTTTTTTTTCTTCTTCAAAGCACACATTCCAATTTGTATGTTGAAGCTGATAGTAGCAAGGGAGAAAATATGACCTTTTCCCTGACTCAGTCATTTTGGAAACTCTAATAAAGCTTCAAAGAAGAAATATTTCAAAGCGGTGTGTCCCAACCATATCGCTCCAAACGTGTGGTTAATACCGCAACTCCAGAATCCGTGGGTAGCAGGACCATTGATTTACACTGTCTGAGAAACTGGAGATGTGCAACCTGAGCACATGAAGAGGTCAGACTGGAAAAGGCAGTCCTAGAGAATATGTTTCTGGCAGGATATTTTTGGATAAAGACAGAAATCGTGTTCTAAATAATATAAACAGTGGGAAAGAGATGGGGCAGAAAATACGTATGGGGAAAGAGAGACAGGTGGAAAAGAGAAAGACAGAAAAACTTTAAAATTGCTAAAGGGCTTAAGTTGCCAATTCAGAGGGTATTCTATATCTAGAACGTATCGGAACTCCTTGCATAGACAAATAATAAATGAATAATACATTTTAATGTTGTAAGATCCCTTGCTGCATTTGATTCAGAACTATGTGGATGATCCAAGTTATCCAGTACATAAAACTATGGTAAAACATCAGAAAAGAGACTTAAAAACAGTATTTTAGGATCTAGTCTGGGCCCTCACTGGGACAGAGGTTTAGTCTTCCAAGCTTTTCAACTGGAGCCCATCTTCAGGGAATGTCTATTCTAAGTTCCCTGAGGATGGGCTCCAGCGTGAATTTTATCCATTTATCCTGTTCTTTCAGATTATATATAGAATATATATAGAATCTCATTAAACACTACATCCAAATCCAACTATAAAATGCAGCTATAAGATCTTCTATAACTTAACAGAGGTACCTGCATATTTCTTTAGCAGTTTATAGCCTTCACAGTATCTGCCTCTTGCAGTTGTCATTCTGGCAGTATTCACATATGAGTATGTGGCAGCAAAATCAAATACTTCTTTACCATCCCACCAGCCTTTGCTTAAAGCATAATTCCTTAGCTCTGGATGTTCACGGTCAATTTTTGTTGTGATGGATAGCTGGTTGGAAATATTCCGTGTTCCTTCTGTTTAAAAGGGAGAGGAAAACATGCTATTACACTTCTAAATGTTTCTGCCCTAAATTGACTTACTTAAAAATTATTAAACTGAGATGTCTAAATTTACTGTTAGAAATTTGGGAAGAAGCTAAATCCCACAACATGAATGTTGACTGCTTCGTGACCCACTCCTTCCTCATTTGCAATAATTATACTTGACCATAATAAACACATTGGGCCAATAATAAACTAGACTTTTTCTCCCAGCTAAAACTAAATAACCAACAAATATCAATTTAAGCACTAGCTTAAAAATGAAAACCATGACTGGAAAAAAGAAATTAAGCACATGATCAGAAGAAAGCAGCCAGGTCATGGCAACTGAAATGGGTGCCAGTTTTTAATATAATGCTGAGATTTTCATTATAACTGTTCACCAACTTATTTTTTTTAAAAAAAGATGAAGATAAAGCATGTTGCAAAGAACTGCTAATTCCCCCCCCCCTATTTGCCTCAGAGGATTATGGAATGTATCGGCAGAAAGAATAATTTCTAAAATGTTTTCCTTTTCTAACCCATTCTCTTTTTCTTCAGTGCTGAAGAAATCTGAAGAAAAGGAAGTAAGTTGCCGCAGAAGCCTTTCAGGCTTAAATGAGGATTATAGCTGCTTTTTATTTTTAAAGGTTCTGCTGGCAGAGAATCCAGATTGTAACTGAGCTGAAACAGACTTGCTTTCTTGTAAAAACTGTAATAGCATTAGTGACCTCACTTACTAGTATAGCACTGGAGAGGGAAAGGGAGAGAGAGAGAGAGAGAGAGAAAGAGAACTGTGTGTAAGTAAATAGGTAGACAGATGATAGATTAGATCAGGGGTGTCAAACTTGCCCCATCACGTGACATGTTGTGATGTATCATGACTTTTTTCCCCTTGCCGGAGCTGGGGTGGGTGCAACTTCTGCATGACACATCCGGCCTGTGGGCCGCCAGCTTGACACCCTGGATTAGATGATAACTGGTACTGTAGATGATAGATATAGACAGAGATAGACAGACAGACAGACATTGTCCACTGAGAAGTCTTAAAACTGAATAAAGGTTATTATTCATACCTTTTACTTTCTCTGCAGCCCAGTGCTTTCCAGATGTTTCCAGAATCCAAGCTTCTTTTCTGTCCGCTATCAAAAAGCTGTTATAGTAGGTAAATGTCATTTGACTCTCCATACAGTTTCCACCTTGATTATATTTGTCCACCAATTCAACGATAACATCAACAGCTTTTTCTGCAGTATCTGCTCTTTCAAGTCCAAGCCTAAAATCAAATCAAAGGGTTTTAGCATTCTGTAACTTTCTTCAACTTCAAAAGACAGAATTTGAACATGCTCATTTATTTCTCAATCTGGGCTCATGTTCAGAACCTTAAAACAAAGTTTTTGGGATGAAAACTATCACACACACCTACACAACATCCTAGCAACTACAAAACTGCAATGACACAGATGCCATGTCTGTTTGGGCATGCAAAACTTTCCTACAGACATTCTCGAACTGGTAGGCTGTCTATAGGGAAACCATATTTTATGAACTACAATTGACTTATGACCACAATTAGGAGTGGAGCTTCTCTTGCTAAATGATCTAGCTGTTAAGTGAATCATGGCTGATTTTACGACCTTTTTTTTTTTGCTGAAGTTGTTAAGCAAATCACTGCGGTCATTAAGGGAATCCAACTTCCTCCATTGACTTTTCTTGTCAGAAGTACCTGGGAAAGTCACAAATGGTCATCATGGGACCCTAGGATGGTGCAACTGCATAAATACATTCCGATTGCTAAGTGCCCATATTTTTGATCATGTGACTGTGGACCTTCCGAAGGTTGCCAATGTGAGGAACATTTGCAAATCATTTTTTTCAGCACTCACATAACTTCAAGTGGTCATTAAATGAATGGTCATGGGGCAATAACTACCTCTAATGTCTTGTAGCTTTCATAGTTTCTGGACCAGGTCAAAGTAGTTCCTTCAAAAGCTAGGTTTTAGTTTTCCATTTTAGCAGCAAAATTCTGCATTAAGCCCCCATTTACCCCATAAACTCTCCAGGTCAAATATTAGTGTTGTTTATTTTCCATCTCATACAGTAGTTTCCAGAGGTGGCTGTTTGACAAAGCACCACGAGTAAAAACAACTAATTAGTTTCCACTTGGTTTCACATCTTATCCAGCAGACTTAATGATAACCTGACAAGGTCCATGCCAAGGAGTGCTTCATCACTGCAGACTTCTTCTTTTCCCCATATGGCTTCATTCCCAATGCAGACTCCACATTCATTGGCTCCCATTTCAGCACCCCATAGCCAGGATGGACGGCTCAGGACAACTCCGTACGTTTTTGGTACTTGTTCGATTTCTATATAAGTACACTGCAGGGATGATAATTTCAAAAATATTTTATGAATTACTTTTTAAATCACATACAACAGATACAGTACTTCCCCGCGCTTTTACTGCTCTGGGACCCTCATATCTCTCACTGGAATTATAAGATTCTTTTGAACAAAATGAGGTCCTGGAATTTAGAGGTTCCAGTGGAAAGCAACGAGAGCAAAAATCTGACTGCCCTCACAAATTTGTTCGTATTGTCTAAATGTAGCAAATTATGGCCTCAAATCCTTCCTTCAACACCATTTTTTCTTATGAAAACTATATCTAAATTCAGTGGAACTATTTTCATGCAAGATTTTATGTTTAAATTCAGGATAAATGGCTACGGACCACAATTAGAAAGGAATGCCAAGAAACTGATGAAGTGTTTTTCAAACAAGCAACCGCCCTAAGTGGAAGAAAGGAGACCTATACCCCTAAAACATATTCTAAATATTCTAAGCTAGAGAATATATTTTGTTGGAATGGCCTTGAATTGTCTATCTCTTGCTGTACAAGGTAAGGAGAAAAATCATTCAAATTTAAATGTTCTGACATTCTATACCAAACCAAATATTGATGAAAAGGATTAAATGTACTTGCTTGCAAAAGTTCTTAAAATACCACATGCCTCAAATTATGGAGAACTACTTCCGTTTGGTGCAAATAATAGTAACCAAAGTCATACACATTGTGCTGAACCATTGCTTGCTTAATCATGGTTTGATTACAATTGGCTTGGATTAAATAATGAATTAAATCATAAGCCACAGTTTATATATTGTAATGGGCGAGATCCCAGAATATACAAAACCCGAATTCAGACAAATCATACCATGGTTAATTGCAACCTTGAGCCAAAACCTGACAGCTAATTTGTATTCTCCACTGATCAGACTTGGAACCAGCCAGATTTTGATGGCTGGCCAACTTCCATTCTTGGCTTACAATTTCAATCCAATATAAGTGTCTAGTAGAATCCTCAATGATGCAAAAATGATGAAAGATACATCATGACAAAATAAATCTCTTTTTCTTTTGTACCTGTGTCCAGATTTGACTGTAAGTTTACAGGTCACATAGTTTGCATCAAAAAAGCAGATTTCATCATTCCAATTCTATGTAGATATCTATGCAGGCAAGCTATACAATTGCACAAGCATGTGATTTTGGATATAAATATGTTTATTTTATCTTTTAAGTTTCTCAGATAAAACTTCCCAATAGGTTTTATGACATTTCTAGAAATGTTGCTCTTACCTCAACTTTTTGTCCCAGATCATGAACAGCAGCAGGAAAAAACACAATCTCCTGGACTTCATCAGAAGGCCTATCAGAATTTTTTCCAAAAATGACTTGGCCACCTAGTGTGGCTGGAGGCAGAGCCACAAAAGTATCACAGGAAACGGGTTCAGCAATACTATTAGCCATCCTGAAAAATAAAGTAATAAACAATCACATCTCTCTGATTGCTCAATAACTGATAAATCACTATCATATTTTCCCTTTGGATAAATATTTTACGAAAAATATAGTGTTCATTGTTCAAGATAACACATGCCCCTATAACAAATTCTCTCGCAAATATATGGACAAAAATAAATCATTGAACAGAACTATGTGTGTCTAACTAGTGTTTCCAACTTTAGCAACTTTTAAGATATATAGACTTCAACGCCCAGAATTTCCCAGCCAGCAAAGTTTAGAAACACTAATTTTAGATCTTTTAGAGACATCTACCATTCAACCGTTTTTCCCACTCTTTATTACTGACAAAATTATTGAAATTTTCATAAGTTCTAGAGAAAAGATTATCCATGATTCAATTTCATCTTAGAGTCTATTTCTCTGCCCACTTGAATTACAAAATAGGCTGCGTGAATCCAGATGCTTTTTGAGATCAGATGCCAGGTACATAAGTAAATACTATATATGAAAGCCAGTTTGGTTAAGTAGTTAAGGTGCTAGCCTAGAAACTAGGAGACAGTGCGTTCTAGTGTCTTCCTTGGGCATGAAAAACTAACTTGGGTGACTTTGGGCCAGTCACTCTTTCTCAGCCTAACTCATCTTAAAGGTTTGTTCTTATGAGGAAAATAGGAAGGAGGAGTATTGTTACGTTTGTTACCTTCTATATAAAAAAGGTAGGGGTTTTTGTTTTAATGGAATAGGCAGCAGGAGGAGGAGCCTATCAAGGGAGAACTGCAGTTGCAGATAAGAAACCAGAAGTGCGAAGTAAAGAAGGAAGGGAAAGATGGCCAGGCTAAATCAAGCTACTGTCAGAAAGACAGAGGAGGCAACTCCATCCACATTCTCCACTAGCACAAGTTTGTCCCAAACATTGCAAGGAGGTTGCTTTTCCCACCCTGGATGCTTCTCAGAACTGGGCTGGTGGAAGACCAATAGGGGAAGATTTGTTTTCAAAACAACAGCAACCTCACTGCTTACTGATTAGCTTTTAGGCAGCTTACACGAATAACAATAGATAAAACAGGCTTAGGGAGCCAAAACACGAGTTGCTAAGGTTAAGGTTTTAGAGTGCAGGCCTCCTTTCTTCCCCTTAGGGCGGCTGCTATCCCTGTTTTATTATCTTTAAGAAATACTCCATCAACTATTTGGAATTCCTTTCTAATTCCAGTCTGTGGCTCCTTATCCTGAATTTAAAATTAAAATCTTGCACGAAGATGGTTCTGCTGAAACTTGCAGCTAAATTTGCAACTACAACTCCTGCCTCTGTTCTACCCTGGGGCGTCGGTTCCCTTTTAACCATTCTGGCTTGCCGAGCCCTGTTTATGGCTTTACGTGTGTAAATCAGAGCCTGCTAGCTTGCGCAACCCAGACCCTCACCCTGAGCCGCTTTCTTGCTCCCGCAAAGCCGCACCCCGCAAAGCCCTACGTCAGACCCCACAACTCGGCCTGGCGTCGCCGCCTTTGCCTTGCGCTTAGCAGGCGCCGCGCTGATGCTTTTTCCGCCCTTCCAGTCGCCCTGCAAAGGCAGCTTCCCGGCCTTCTCCACCAGCTGCAGGAAACGGCGCTGTTTGCCGCTCTCGCCCCGGAAGCTCCGGGTCAAAGCCGGAGCTAGCCCGGGTGAAGTAAACAGAAGTTGCGCGGAGGAAGGCCGCAGGAACCGTCGCGACGTAAAAAAGAGCCGCCGCTGCAGCTCTTTCTCCGACCCCGCGGCCGGCACTGCCGCCGCCGCTTCCTCGTCACCATGGGGAAGTCATTCGCCAACTTCATGTGCAAGAAGGACTTTCACCCGGCCTCCAAGTCCAATATTAAAAAGGTGAGCTGCCGTCGGTCGGGGCCATTTCCCGGAGGAAAGCCGGAGAGAAGCTCCCCTTCCCTCCCTGCCACCCGTCGACGTGGAGGCCCGAATCAGAGATGTTTATAGTCCTCGGCTTACAGCAGTTCATTTAGTGACTGTTCGATGTTACAACGTCACTGCAAAAAAAGTGACCCGTGACCCTTTTTCAGACTTACGACCTTTGCCTGCATTTCGGTGGTCACTGCGTGACCAAAATTTGGATGCTTTGCAACTGGTTCGTTTGTTTATAGTGATTGCAGTGTCCCCGGATCATGTGAACACCTTTTGCGACCTTCTGACCAGTAAAAACTATGGGGAAGCCAGATTCACGTAACAAACAGCTGGGTTATGTGGCAATGATTCACTTAACAACAGTGGCAAGAAAAGTCGTAAATTGGGGCAAAACTCACTTAACAAATGTCTCACTTAGCAACAGAAATGTTGCACTCAGTTGTGGTTGTAAGTTGAGGACTATCTGTATTGATTAGACCAGGGGTAGGCAACCTTGGCTCTTTTATGACTTGTAGACTTCAACTCCCAGGCTGGCTCAGGAATTCTGGGAGTTGAAATCCAGAGTTATAAAAGAGCCAAGGTTGCCTAACCCTGGATTAGTCAGTTTAAAGGATCTTTCAGAAGTTCTCCTTGTCTACTCTTCTTTCCTCCCGGGGTGAGGGGTGGGGGGGAGGTCTTTCATCTGAATATACATCCTGGGCACAAAAAAAATCCCCTTCTGTCCTCCAAAGTAAATCAATAAAATCCAACATATTGCCAATGTACCCCCTCTCTTTTCCTGCCTCTGCTTTGCTTTGCTTTCCTTGGACATAATTGCCCTGGTAGAGACCAGAATTCGTTGTTTCCATTATGAGTCCTCATTACACATTTTAACAAAAGAGTGGGACAGGGTGCCCCTTTTATACTATAATGTCTTAGGCCAGTGGTGGTGAATCTATGGCACGAGTGCCAGAGGCGGCACTCAGAGCCCTGTCTGTGGGCACGTGTGCCATCGCCCCAGTCCTAGGCCTTCAGCTGGGTTTCGCTTTAGGCCTCTGCCGCCATGTGCAAAAAAAAAAGGTTCAATCAGTCAATTTAAACTCGCGGGAAAAAAAAAGATCTTGCAAAGTTGGAATTGATTGATTGAACTTTTTAGTCCTACCCAGTCTGCCGTTACCACGACAGCCCTGCCCACCCAATGGGCCACACCTACCCGGCACTCGATGATGCATAAGTGGGTTTTGGGTTGCAGTTTGGGCACTCAGTCTCTAAAAGGTTCGCCATCACTGTCTTAGGCCCTTCTTTTCCACAGTGTATCCTATTGAATTTAAAACAGGTGCCGGTTACTAGACTGTAAATTTGCAGCTATAACATGTTGTTTTATATGATTAAGAATAAAGATGGGGCAGAAATAAAGTGGAATGAAGGAATTTGCAATGGAAGGGTGTAGGAGGAGAAATTATCAAATGGATCCCCAGACATCATTAAAGCTCAATCAGGAAAACTTCCCGATACTTTGAAGTACCACTCCCATAGATCCTTGACAGCCATGCTGGCCTGAGCTGAGGAGAATTAAAGTAAAAAATCACTTGAAGTATTTCAGGTTATCTATCACTGGCATAGAGCTAGTTGTGTCTAGAGGTTAAGGCAGTGGTTCTCAACCTGTTTAATGCCGCGACCCCCCAACCAGTCGTAAGTCGAGGACTACTCAACCGGTCGTAAGTCGAGGACTACTCAATTGGTGCAGCACCGTTTGCAGAATGGGACTTTTGGTGGGCGCAGCAGGGCAGAGACAGCCTGGACAATTCCTCTTGGCTTTTGAAAGCCAATAAAATTAGACTCTATTCAAGAGAGTCTATTCTATTGGCTTTCAAAAGCCAATAGAATAAAAGGGAGTAGCACAGCTAAGGAAAAGGGGGAAAAATGGCGGACTGCGTTGTTTGGCGACCCCCGTGAAATGGTCGTTTGACCCCAAATGGGGTCCCGACCCACAGGTTGAGAACCACTGGGTTAAGGCATCAAAATAGAAACTGGGAGGCTAGGAGTTCTAATTCTCCCCTTAGTCATGAAAGCTAGCTGGGTGACTTTGGGCCAATTACTTACTCTTTTTGAGCCCAAACCATTTCACAGTATCGCTGTTTGGGGAACAATAGGAGGATAAAGGAACATTACATAAGTTTGCCGCTTTGCGTTATTTATAAATAAAGTAAAATAAAGTAAATAAATTGTAGAGAACATACATTTATACTGATGGTCAGGTTTGAAGGTGTAGTGTGCTATCTACAAAGATATCTACAAAATATTAATGGAGACTGATGCTTAGGCTGGGTTCTCACTATGATTTATCAATCCAATTTTCTGGATGTATATGACACTTTGTGTGTCATATAGTGCCAATTTGGTGTAGTAGTTAAGGCATTAGGCTATAGTAGAAACTGCGAGACTATGAGTTTTAGTCTCACCTGAGGCACAAAGGCATCTGGGTGATGTTGGGCCAGTCACACACTCATTCCTAGGAAGCAGGGAGTTGCAAATCATTTCAGAAAACACTGCCAAAAAAACCACAGGGACTAGCCCAGTCAGTTGCCAGGAGTAAAAAACTGACCCAAAGCCACAAAACAAAAACAACAGAAAGATGACATACTAAACCATAAACTAAGTATAATTGCCAGGTTTGTCATTCAGTATATTATATTAATGCAGCTTAATTGGTTCACTTCAAATGTCTTTTTCTTCCAAGAGATTGATGAACAAATTCGTTGGTTCAGCTACCTTTAGGGGTGTTTTCCTACCAACCCTCAAGCAAAAGAGTGCCACAGAGGCTCAGTTGCATAGCTTGTCATTTTACACATGTTTTGCTTCTTTTGTCAAATTGTCTCTAGATCAGGGGTAGGCAACCTTGGCTCTTTTATGACTCGTGGACTTCAACTCCCAGAATTCCTGAGCCAGCATAGCCAAGGTTATCGACCTTTACAGAGATCTTAGTATCCATAAGAGACAAACTATTATGGTATGTTCCGTGGATCATAGTGATAGTAGTCCCACAGAACATAGTGAGCTGGAGTTCATTTTCAATTTCTAATAAGAAAGCTAACTTCTGTATTAAATATTTCTGTTAAAAGGCCCATCATTTCTTACTGGAGTCTTTCAAGAACACCTGGATGGTTTGGGGTTTTTTGGTGATAATTAAAGTTACAGAATTTTACAGCAGTGTGAGTGCAATATGAAATTTCAGAAAGAGAAAGGAGGGATTTTTTCAAGAATGATACTTAAATCAATTTATTCTAACTAGGTATGGATGGCAGAACAGAAAATATCTTATGATAGAAAGAAACAAGAAGAATTAATGCAGCAATATCTTAAAGAACAAGAATCTTATGATAACAGGTGAGATGTGGCTCATTATTTTACACTTGGGTGATAAAAATCCATAATCAAAGCATAACCCTCTAAATTTGTGACTCTATTAGTTGTTATCTTTATTATACATGTTTGTTTTATATTGTTTCAATATATGATTGAAATATTTTATTTGCTATAAACATCTCTGAGAAAGATGTTGTTTATCTAATCCAGTGGTTCTCAACCTGTGGGTCGGGACCCCATTTGGGGTCGAATGACCATTTCACGGGGGTCACCAAACAAGGCTGTCCGCCATTTTTTCCCCCTTTTCTTTGGCCACGCCCCTGGCACCCGGTGATGTATAAGTGGTTGGGGGTCACCACAACATGGGGAACTGTATTATGGGGTCATGGCATTAGAAAGGTTGAGAACCACTGATCTAATCAATGTATATGGCCATTCAGCTCAAAAATGGGACTCTGGGTAACAAACAATAAAAACTCCAAAATAACCAATATGGTTGAAAATAATTATAACCAATAATCAGATATAATGTACCCAAGATCTAAAACAGTGTGTTCCATCATGCAATCAGTGACAGGCAGAAAAATCAGCTGGGTTCATATGACATCCCAGCTCCAGAACTGAAGGGAAAAGCCAGGTCTTTACGGCTTTGTGGAAGGTGAGGGCCATCCAGATCCCATGGAAGATGCTGTTCCATAGAATAGGTCATTGGGTCATTGAAGCAGTGCTATGAAGCAATTTCTACTTTATACAGTCTGCAAATCTTCCTTTGTCTCACTTCCTAGGGATTTAGTCTCAGATCACATGCAATGCTCAGATTGAAAGGTCAGAGAATAACAGTTTTTTAAGAATTGCCTTCAAAATGTGGATTCTTTTTTTTTTTTTTTTGGAAAAATGTTCTCAGCTCCATTAGTGCATTAGAAATGTACATGACAAGCTAAAACAATGGTTCTCAACCTGTGGGTCGGGACCCCATTTGGGGTCGAATGACCATTTCACGGGGGTCGCCAAACAAGGCTGTCCGCCATTTTTCCCCCCTTTTCTTTGGCCATGCCCCTGGCACCCGGTGATGTATAAGTGGTTGGGGGTCACCACAACATGGGGAACTGTATTATGGGGTCGTGGCATTAGAAAGGTTGAGAACCACTGAGCTAAAATGTTTGGAATTAAAGTTGAGTCTAGGAATACATTTTGGGCTGAATTTCCCGTGTTTAAAAAGTAATTATTGCTTAATCCAGAATTATTATTATGTACTGCAGATATTTAAAGTGTCTACTAGTAAAAAAAAATGAGCTATGTCTTATTGTGGAAACATGCTACCTTTATTTTAAAATATATTTTAAATCAATATATATTTCTTGCAATATATCATAACTTTATTATATGTTTATAAAGATTGCTTATGGGAGATGAACGTGTCAAGAATGGTCTAAATTTTATGTATGAAGCGCCACCTGGAGCAAAGAAAGGTAATTTTAGTTGTTTAGTAACTAACACAATATTTACCAACAATTGTATGGAAACTATAACACTCATCAAGGGTTCTTGATCATTTGGTTTTAATTGTGACAAACTTTTCCTGCAGATTCTTTTTACACCTGTGTTCATCATTATCTTTTCCCCCCCTTTTTAATTATAACTTAAAAGTATTAGAGAATTACAGTTAACACCTGGAGGAATAAATATTTTCCTAGCAGAAAATTTCAATTCTGGGTGTACCCAGATATGGGTGAGAAAGATCACTCTCTCAAACACAAGGGAACTGTTGCAGTTGGGTAAGACCAAATGTCTTTCACATGTGAAGATCTGACCCCATCTGATGTAATCCAGATATGTTGGGCTTCAATTTCCATTCTGGCCAGGGCTTTAGGGAGTTGAAATACAACACATCAGGGTGGTGTCAGTTTGAAGAGTGTGGAATAGCAATCTTCCACTATTCCATGATTTGACTGGGTAAAAAACAGCTTTTTTTTTTTATAATAGATGATATTCCAGACCTTAAGGGAGACCATTAGAAACTATAGCCAACAGTATTAGTAAAAGAAAAAGTTTGCAGTGATGCCCATAATTGTTGGTTTCAGAAGCCAGATCCTGTGTTGTAGTGCACGTGAATTCATATGCTATTTTGTTTGTTTCTTGTAAACTGAATCAAAACATAGTGATGTGCAGAGCATCTTATCGCTTCTAGAATTGAAAGCAAATTTATGAACTGGCAATTGCTCCTCTAATCAATGAAGTTCATATTCATTCTTACACCCCTGCTAATGTTCCATGTGTAACTATCCTCCCACAAGCAGCTGCAGTAAAGCGATTTAAAATTAGGAACAGTCTGCCACAAAATGCAGTAATAGTACCTTCTGCAATTTGCCATAGTTGGAAGCAGTGTACATCTTGTATTCAAATGAGGTGTTCATTTGGGAGGAATGGTTAACAGCCCACTGACAAGCACTGCTGGAAAAGTGGTAGTGGGCATACTTGGGACCCAGATAGAACTTATTATCCATCTGATTGTTAAACATGTCATGCAGATGTAGTCAAAGTCTCTAATCAGAGTAAGAGCCTCTAAGAAAGACTCCTTACACTGAGATGGGAAATGTTTAATTTCCCGTATGGCAAAAAAAGTCTATAGATGCTATATAGGAAGTTGGAGAGGATCCTGTGTTCTTGTCAAATATGCTAGAAGATTCCAGTCTTTGAATCATTTTAGGCAAAGAGCTGAATTTTTTCTTCTGATTTAGACTTTAACCCTTGCAGATTGATTGTGCAATAGTGGATTAAATATTCTTGTTCTTATACAGTATATTTGGTTTTGTAAAAGAAATCCTGAAATAAGTATCAGATTACTGAAGAGTAAGTCTACATGTGGTGAATTTCTTGAGTATGATTACATAAAGCTGCAGTCTTTATCATAAATCTATAACTCACACATTTGGTTATGCATAATTAAAAAGGAAATACTAAATTTTAGTAGACAAACTTTATAAAATAAGGTGTTTTTCAGAGGTCTGTGAATTGCATGATCTGAATGTTTTTGATATCCCGATTGCCTACTCATCTAATGGTCTGCCTTATCCTATTCCCTACCATTTCATCATGATCATCAAACAAGAAACTAAAGAGGTAATTTTGATGTTTAATTTCTCATGTTTTCTCATATTTCAAAATCTCAGTGTGTATATAAATAACAGCTTGATTTTATGTATTGTTGTCTAGCAAGAGGGAGAAACTGAATACAAATTTGAATGGCAGAAGGTAGCTCCACGTGAAAAGTAAGACTTATTGCTTCATACTTTGACTAATGTATTCTGAGAGCTGTTTACATATATGTGTTCTTTAAGGAAGAAGACTGTTGTCTCAAGCTGTATATTTTACAAAATAAACAGAGGCACTGCCTTTTCTATAGGCAATACCTTTTTCCACAGAAATAGATTAGCTGAATACATGAATTACTATATCAGATCTTAGAATAAAATATTAATAAGTGAAAGAAAGGCAAAAAATTACCTAAGAATATTATTGACCAAATGCTGTAAAGTGCATATTCATATCATGCTACTTTCACATGATATCTAGTATTTTACTCCAGGACTTCATGTTACATAGTTTCTCTTGCTCTTTGCTGCCTGTCTGGAGTTCCCAAATCTGCCTCAGAACACATCTCAGCCTTCTGAAGCAGATTCAGTAGGAGATGAAGCCTAGCAAGAGAGAGACCAGAGCTATTTGCAAGAGGTTCACTCCACCAGCAGACATATAATAATTCAAAAGATTCAAAAAGTATAACAAAGTTCCATATTTATAAAACTTTCCCTCTTCTGAATCTGCCCAGGAGATGGAGAGAACAATGAAATCCAAGGAAACCATTGTGCTAATACTTTTTCTGTGTATATATTGATTCAGAATGTCAGCCTATTATTTTTCTGTTGAAAAGAAAAATACTGCAGCACTCCAAACTGAAGAATATTCAAGTCTTATACAACTTAAATTTGCATTAAAACTGAAACAGCTTAACCGCAAAGAGCAGAGGCAAGAGACACATAAAATAGAACAATAAAAAAACTAAGAAGCAATGGTAGTCTATTAAAACAGCAATAATAATAAGTAGAGCAGGAAAGCACCTAAAAATGATGAAAGCAGCACCATTTTAGATCACTAAAAATCCACGAGCCTTGACTTGGTGAATGGGGCAGCTTGAACTAAAAAAGGGTGAGAACAGATCTTCCAAAGGGTAGGTAAAAGTTTGTTCTTGCCATCTAATTTAGGCTTCCCCAGGGAGCAGCAATCTGGGGGTCTTATTTAGAAATGATGTTAAACAAACTATAAGTGGAGATTTCCCTTTTTATTGAGCCTTTCTTGATGTCAGGAAGAACCAACTCCATATCTAGATGCTTTTTGGATAAATGTGAATACATTGGAATTCGGAAACATTTTGATGCTGTGGTTTCTACATCTTTAACAACTGAAGCCATAGACCCATGGTGGCGAACCTATGGCACGCGTGCCACAGGTGGCACTCAGAGCCCTCTCTGTGGGCACGCGCGCCATCGCCCCAGTCCTAGGCCTTCAGCTGGGTTTCATAAAACCTTTTCGCTTTAGGTGTCCGCCGCCATGTGCAAAAAAAAAAAAGGTTCAATCAATCAATCAATTTCAACTTCTTGGGGGGAAAAAAAAGATCTCGCAAAGTTGGAATTGATTGATTGAACTTTTTAGTCCCACCCAGTCTGCCTTTACCACACCCACCCAATGGGCCACGCCCACCCAATGGGCCACACCCACCCAATGGGCCATGCCCACTCGGCACCCGACAATACTTAAGTGGGTTTTGGGTTGCAGTTTGGGCACTCCGTTTCTAAAAGGTTTGCCATCTTTACCATAGGCTGTATCTTGTTTGAATCCCCAGTAACTAGTAATTGTAATTCTTTTTAATGCATAAATAATATAAGTATGCATCTTTTTTGTATTTAACAGGTATGCTAAGGATGACATGAACATTAGAGACCAGCCATTTGGCATCCAGGCAAGTTTTATGCATTGCCTTCCTTCTATTTAGGATGGATTTCATGTATTCTGTAGCTTACAATAAATTACATTAGGTTTGTATTATGAAAACTTTGCTTTGGATATAATGGGATAAAACATAGTATTGAAATGTGAAATTAAGTTTATATGAATCATTTTCAGGTGAGGAATGTGAGGTGCATTAAATGTCACAAGTGGGGCCACGTAAACACAGACCGAGAATGTCCTTTATTTGGCCTTTCTGGAATTAACGCAAGCTCTGTTTCCAGTGATGGCGCAGGTAGGTGTTTAAAATGTATTTCAGTCAATTTATCAAATAATGTTGAGTTATATTTATATTTTATTGAGTTCAGCAACAACTGGGTGTTTAACTTTGCAGGATTCAAACTGAAGGTCTTCTGTAAATGCTTTTAGGTATCTTAGATAAAGAGAAAGTCTTTTTGTGTGCTAATGAATTTTCCAGCCACTGTGATTCAGTCAGCATTCCAGTGCTCAGGGTTTGCATGGAGTTCTCTATGAATATTAGAACCACCAAATTGTAATTCATGTTCGTATCCCACCTACAAACAGGTAACTGATTCCATGGTAGTGTTTCAGATAGAGTGATTTCAGGATGATTACACCCAAATATTGAAAAAATATCTGTAAGGAAATAATGAGAACTCTTTAAAAGTAGTCGTTAAAAGCAAAACGGCTCCATACCAAGTAACCAAAAGAAATAATACTCTATTGTAGACATGTCAAACACAAGGCCCGGGGGCCAGATGCGGCCCGCGAAGTGGTTTCATGTGGCCCGCGAAGCCATCCTGAAAACAGTGAGGGAACGGTCTCCGCTGCCTTGACCCTGGCCCAGGCCAGCCAGGAGCCAATGTACAATTTTGTGATGGCCATCTGTGCTGAAACGCATTCAGTCCTAGCTCCACAAGGCCGGCTGGAAACAGCGAGGAACTGCTGCTGGGTGCATGCTGAGCTGCGTTTCTTGTCTATTTTTCTCCCTCCCTCATCTCAAATATTTTCTCACCTGTACTTAGGAAGGAAAGAAGGAGAGGGAGGGTCTGAGGGAAGTCCTGCCTTAGTTCTGCCCTGCTGCCCTTTTCACCATCCCCTTGCCCCCTCCTCCTGCCTATCCTGGGGTCTCTCATCCTATTGCTAAGGAAGCTTTGGATACAAAGCTGGGTCTCCTCCCATGGAGAGGGAATGGGCCTCCCTCTGACTTTGCCCTCGTACCCATCATGTGCAACCTGGGTAAGGAGACCAAGCACAGCAGCAGCAGCCTTGAGGAGGAGATAAGTGCAGCTGGGTGCCCCCTTGGGGAAATGGGGCTGGGCTTGGTGCCGCAAGTGCTCGAGGGCCAGGGTGGGCGTTTGATCTCTGCTGCCCAGGGCTCTGGGCAGCTCGCACTACCATCCAGCCCCCCCCCCCCTGCATGGCCTGAGAGGAACAGTGAGGTTCCTCCAGTGGACCATGCCTTGGCACTTGCCCTGGTCCCACCCCCTTCTGCCAGAGACCCTCAGATCTGTCCCACTCCTGCCCAGGCCCCCATAGGCACCCTTGACACGAACAATGTAGAGCTGGCCACGCCCGCCCAATAGGCCACACCCACTCTGTCCACACCCACCCAGTAGGTCGCACCCACCCTGGTCACACACACACACACCCCGAGGGCAACTGCAATGCTGATGCGGCCCTCAATGAAATTGAGTTTGACACCCCTGCTCTATTGGGATATGACTTTTCTTCTTATTTCCTCAACTGTAATGCTACTCTATTTGTCAATTCAGACTTTTAAAAATATAATCTTTCCACTTTCAAAAGTCTCCTATTGAATAATATATCTTGCTGGTGAATGGAGATTATTTTTGCAATAAGGCAATTTCACTGGATGTGGTTTTCATGGGATAATCACACCCCTGGGGTACAGCCTTGGCTGTAATCTCCCAGGACTGTAATTATTTCATGACAACTGTACTCCCCCCGATGATGCATTTATTTCCATTATGAAATCTTAGTTCGACATATAAAGTAACTTACTTTGATCATTGGAAACCATGGTAGTGAGAAAATGTTCCAGCTGTGCAGTTTACCGAGACCCACTATAAGATTTACTACATCCCTTTACAAAGTTAAATTAGGCAATCAAAATGCTGTTTTATCCTAAGCTGTTTGGTTTTTTTTTTAAAAAAAAAATACTGATATTAACTTTTAGGGTTCCTAATAAAAAAGGCAAAACTTTTTGCTCTACTTTTCTACATGAATTGCTTGGCATGATGTGTGAGCAGTTAAGCAAAGAGTTTCCTCACTGAAAGCAAACATTTGCTTTCTAATGAACTATTGGTATCTGTTAGTTATTATTGTTGCCAAATCATGACAGGAATACAGCTTCTTTCAGAAGTTAAACTGTCATTGCAGATCAGATGCTGATCATCCAAAGCATCTCTTTCTCTATTTGAAAATAAGTGATGCCATGTTGTTTCTCATGGGGGTGGAGGCATTAGTTTTGCGGTTGTCTTAAAATTTGCCATAACACTTAGTTTAGTCTTAGTTTTACATTACATGGGCACAATTAAGTAGAATTTACTATTTCTAGCAGCTTCTTTACCAGATGTACACACCTATCCCGAGTGAAGCTTTTACTCCAGTTCTTCTTGCTATAATACATTCAATAGCAGGAATAATTAAAATAAGAATGTACCCCTGCATTGGATTGTAATATTTTTCATTTTGCTGGGTAGGCTGATAGGAGCTGGAGATCAGAGAAATTTGGAGGCACACATTGATGTTTATACAAGGACTAGAGCAGGGGTAGGCAACCTTGGCTCTTTTATGACTCGTGGACTTCAATTCCCAGAATTCCTGAGCCAGCATGGCTCAGCATGGAAACCTCTCCCTTTCCCCTCAGCATGGCTGGCTCAGGAATTCTGGGAGTTGAAGTCCACGAGTCATAAAAGAGCCAAGGTTGCCTACCCCTGGACTAGAGCAACCACCCTTATTGGAGAACTAGAATGGAAAGTAATGGTATCAGTCATTTTAAGAACTTCGCCTTTAAATGGGGTGTGCGGCACTATCTCAGCGCAAAATGATACTGAGCTATTGTGCATCTTTAGGACACCTTTTCTCTACCTTCCTGTATGATAGCAAACACTCATTTTTTTCCCCTCTCTGCTACCTATTCACTCTGTTATCTATGATTCTAGAAAAGTTATTTTTCAGCATTTAAAGTAATGTGAAAATTCTGAAAAATATACAAATATTTAGCAAAGTAGTAAGTAGAGCCAAAGTAGGGTTCTGAATTTTTGCTAGCAAAACCAGAATAAATGATATAATATAAGAGAAATTGGTCAAAGTTATTCTACAGCAAGTCAAAACATTCTATTTTTTGGTACATATATTTGAATTGTCTGGATGAAGACTTTTTTTATTTTTAATGTGGTTTTTTAAAAAAGGGTGAATAGTCTTCCTTCAGAAGGCTATGGTGATGACCATTTCTTTCCTTTTAGGCTCCAGCCAACCAGATCCTAATCCAGTGTATTAAGTGCAATATTCACAATTAATCTCAGAAATACAGGTTTTAAGGGGACCTTCGAATCATAATTTCTGTAGATACTCCGAATTATAGCATCCACAATAAATATAAATGACTGATCATTGCTGATCTCCAGAAAGGAAAGCTCCCTTGCTTTCCTGTCAAACTGCTCATATAATTAAGAATTTTATCCCAAATTTCTGCAATTTTTCCCTCCTATGCTTTATGTACAATAAATCTGGCCAAACAGCTGTTCTTTGTTTGATAAATCTTGTAATGCTCTCCCTCACTAAGTTTTCTCCAAACAAATTATCAGCCCATCAAGATAGGCCAAGTCAGGAAACAGATACCGCAAGGAGGCACTAGGACAGCTTGGCAGGGAAAGTCTTTGCCAGCAACAAATATGACAAGATGAAATAGTCTCTGACATCTGCTCTCCTTCTTGGCCACCAGAATTTCTGAGCACCCAAATGTTTTGAATACTACCCCTGCACCTGCAGCTTATGGCAGAGCCGTATTTATTCTGTAAAAGAAGGGAAGTGTTTTAAATAGCTATTTTGAAGCCACTGTTCATTGACAGAAGAGGGGGCTTTCTCTGGAAGTCATTCATCCGAGCCCTGTTGTTGCTGTACTCTAATCTGATGTGAAAGATGTGGTTATTTTGGGAGCGGCATCTATGACATTTCCCAAAGGCTAGGTGTTGGAGCAGTTTGGGCAATTGCTTACTCTGTGCCTTCAATTCCACAGCTGATTCAGATGTTGGAATTAATAAAGTCTTGGCTGGGGCTTCTGCATTTGCACAGGTCTCTCTGCTCTTTTAATGCTGAGGACAAGAAAGTTTTTATTGCTCCTATTTGCATGGGTTCTCCAGTGCTGACATCCAAAGAGGCAACAGTAGGGCGTAAGAGAGAGAGAGAGGGAGGGAGGGGAGAGAGGGGAGAGAGAGAGAGAGAGAGAGAGAGAGAGAGAGAGAGAGAGAGGCTGTAAAACCTCCCCTTACTATGAAACCTTCCACCATGCCTCCCTTTTCTAATCACACCTCAATTAACATGCAATATTGGAACAGCTCTTCCCAATACCCTAGTGTAACTTCACTTACTAACTCATCTCTCATTTCATCAGGTCCTTCTCAAACCGGGTCAATCTCTCTGGCAGATAATTGAAAATCCAATATGTTCTCACAAACTCTGTGTTCAGCTTTTAGAACTCTCAGTCTGGGGTTTGTCTCAACTGAATCACCAGATACAGCTTTAAATCTTGGCATAAAGTTCTGATAATTATCCAGCCTGGATCACTGCTCTCATTGAGAAGCACAGACCATTAAATTGCCCCTTCCTTTGGCAGACCCACAACAAAAGCCACCCCCCCCCAACCTGGAGTGATCTGTAGGAAATTCTACAGAATTTGATCTAAACAATTCACATCTGATCTAAACAATTCACATTGTTGTGAAATTGATCTCAGGCTTCCAAATTTTTCTTTCAAATGTTCATAGGAGTGAAGAAATTCTGTTTGGGCTGTTGGTTGATGAACCTTGTCTCAGTTGCTCTGTTAATTATATCATGACACTGTACAGGATTGTTAATTTTACAGCTGCACAGTTTGTTGTATTGTAACAGTACTTCAACAAGTTGTGCTGTGAACAGCAGAGTGTCCTGAGGATCTGATGCCATTTTACAACCAAAGGCAAGGTTCAGTGCATTTCTGAATAGAAATGTAATGACCTCCCTTAGAGGAGGTCACCACAAAGTCTAATGAAACCCTAATATCTTGCTGTGAAATATAATAACAGAAACCTGAAAGCCAGCTAGACTTTCCTCTGCCTCCTTTTATGCCCAACAGAATCAAGGCAAGTTTATTTTGAGTCTCTTTCTTACACTCTCTCCTTTCTCAGACCTCAAACCTAGTTTACAATCTGCTAATAGTTCTTGCATACTTTTGCCAGGGTTTTCCTCCACACAAACATTTTTCCTCCTCCATTTTTCCTTTATTTTTTAACCCAAGAAATTGTTTTTCGTATTTTTGTTCATCCAACATGGCTATCTTCTAAGCCTGTTTCAGTTTGTCTATCATTTTCTTGAGGTGGCACTCAAGACTCCAGATAGAAGTCCAGAGAAGAACCAATGTGGTGGAATCAGAAAATACTGTAGTGCTAGGATGGAAAGAGTCTGATTCTAGTTAACCATCCATCAAAACGTGAACCTGCCATATCCTTCTTGGAATGTTCTTTATTTGAGGGTTAAAATAATTAGGAAAATAATTTGCTTGTAATCTTGATCTTCTGGTGGAAAGGTATATTATAAACATAACAAATAATGAAAGAGTAATAAACTGACATTGCTTCTTATCGCTTGAAAAATGAGATTTTGTTAATATGGATGAAAATTTGTATTAATCTTGTTTTCTAATGGCATCACACTGTTGATTCAGCTGGTGATTAACTATAACCCAGTCAGTTTTTCCACAGCTTATAGTTGTGTACAGTGATAGTGCAGTGAATTAAAAACTTCACAGCCAGAAAATGGGATCAGTCTGATAACTTGCTGTGAAATAACCAAGCCATAAGAAGATGCTTAACTCTCAGCAAACTTTCATGCTGTAATTTAATGTAGCACACTTAATATTTTGTATACTAAAACAAAAATTAAATTCAGAATTTCTTATATAGGAATTGCTTTTCTACTTGCAATGGTACCACTTTAGATTGAGTCTGGGGTGCTAATTATAGGATAAATAAGGCAAGTTGGTTAAGAAAACATTAATCTCATTAAAGTAAAGTTTCTCTGCACAGTATGTAGGAAAATAAAGCCAGTGTGTAGAAATCTCTTCAGTTAAAGGAAAAGACAAATGTATATTGTTTTGGAGCAGAGGCAGTAATAAGAACAAACAAAATGATTTCTGAACACTTTCATAAATACGTAAACCTTTAAATAAACTTAAAAGCATGAGTACACCTTAAATAAACTTAAAAGCACTAGCTAAACTTTAAAAGCAAAAGTATTCAATCTTAAAATGCCTACTATGTACATATATAAAACTTGTTTAAATTTTTAAAATTATTTTCATCAAGGATTTATGCTAGACTAAGGCTTTTTAAAATCTTTAACACTTAAACAACATATCTAGTTTTTATGTTTTAAAAGGTGCTTTAAAAACCATTTGGATTTTCAGGCATCGTGGTAAACAACACCTGATTGACTTTGAATAATTTTGGAAAAAACTAAGCAAGACTGAACTACATTAACACCATTAGGAAACACTAGGCTATGAATGAGAATGGAAAGTTGAGAAAACATACCACGTCATTGTCAAAAACTACTCAGCATGGTGATGTTCATGAAATCCCAAAAAGCTGACCTCAGTTTTATCCTATGTTAGGAAAAATTATATGAGAGTGCAAGGATGAAGACCACCCCTTGTTACCGCCCACCCTTGATCTTTTCAACATTTGCTACATAGAGATTAGATGCAGTCCCTCAAAAACAATACTTCTTTGGGAGTATCTTGATCCCTTAACAAGATAAATGAATTTGTCTGACACCATAAATAGAATTATTTCATTGGGTTAAGGTTAGAGCAGAAATTAAACATGTTGCATACTTTTAATAATGAATCTATCTATTGCCAAGGGTTCTTTTGACTTTCCAATCCTATAGCTGCCTGCTGTAGAAACACTGTCTACTCTGGTTCCTGCCTGAATTGGAAAAGGAACAGCAGAGCCCAGGGTAAATTGTAATAGGGAAGGGTTTGTTGTTTTTTTTTTTTTAAAAAAAAAACCGTGATTCTCTAATGCATACTTTTGATGCCAGAAAATGTTTTAAGTTTGAAAGCTGGCTTGTTGTACTTCAATTTATGTACTTGTATCAAATGCTTACAACTAGACGTTACCTATAAATATATTGTTTTCAATGTGACAAAGTTACATAAGAAGAGAATCCCCCTTTCACTTAAAGAAAAATGCAATTATTTTCTATTCTGAATCTCCAGACTGCTGTTTTAGAAAATCGTATCTGATTATTTGCTCAGCAGAAGATTATTGCGTTGATTTAGCTATGATTTTACTTAACAAAGCTTCCACTGAATTTCCCACTGTGTAGTCCAAAGAAGGTAGAGAGATATAAATGATACATTCAAACTGTGATTTTGGTGAACAGGGCCATCAATGCACCCCTCAGAGCTAATAGCGGAGATGAGAAACAGTGGGTTCGCGCTGAAACAAAATGTACTGGGGAGAAACTTGACCGCAAATGATCCATCCCAGGTAATGATCTTTTTATCAGTAAGCTGAAAATGTGTGCAAATCTAAATGTGATTGGTTGTGAATTGTTGCTTAATGTTTTTGTAATATGCATAACCATAGGGACGCCAGATAGGTAGAGAAACCTTTGTGTCTGTTAAAAATACTGTCTGTTTTCCCACTTTTTTGTTAGCTGGTATGATAGTCTAGAATTCGTCCAATCCATAGTTTAATAAATGAAAAGCCTCCTGCAGGTTAGTAGAGATTTATTATCTACCAGAGAAAATGATTTTGACTTTTCTTTACTTGCTTATGATAGTAGCTGCTTTATCTAACTCTACCCCTGGGTGAAAAATAATGACAGTGCCGTTCAGGGGATGCCATACTTTGGCAGTGCAATTCGGAATACTACCCTGTGTGTTGCTAGAGATTGTATCATTTCTCTCTGCATGGCTACCAGAAGGGAAGCTTGACAAATGTAGGGTAGACTCCTGCTTACCGGAGAGGGGAATATATCACCAAAGCTGGAGTTGTGCTGCTACATTTCTTTTGTTACTGTCCTGCTTCTTGAATTTTACCTCACCTACAGAATAGTTAAACCACCTTCAGACATCAGACAGAAGAACACGATGCTGCACTTATCAATCAGAAGCCTTTCTCATAAAATGGAGCATCTTAATAGCAAGATAAAGGAGAAATTTGTAGCTTGGAACAAAGGGTCCTTGGTGCTCTCTGAGCTTGGTTGTTTTCTTGCAGATGTTTCATTACCCAAACTAGGTAACATCATCAGTGCTAGTAACTTAGTCCAAAAACACCAGGGGATTTCTAGAAACCTGCACTCTGGCAAATTTGCCATCAACAGACACATAGACACTAACACATCTATAGACTAAGCAAAAGAGACAATCAACCAGCCAAAAAGACCCAAGCACCTCTCCACTAGCAATCAGCACCTAAATCAGCATAGATTAACTCCATGATTAACATCAGACCAACAATCAAGTAAACAAGACCCCAATCAAGAAATTGCCAAAGAAGCCAACAGTAAACAGCCCAAGAATCTGTCAGACCTCCCCCACCAACACTGACAGGGCAGGCCTCTAGAATACAAACTGACAGCAAACTGCACTCCTTATAGCACTGATGATGTTACCTAGTTTGGGTAATGAAACGTCTGCAAGAAAACAATCTCAAAGAGCACCAGGGACCCCTCATACAAGTTTCTAGATGCTTTGTGTCCTTCTTGTAGTGTCTCACACGAGCTCCACAGCATAAGTTCCTTGTAAATGGGACCGTCAGGTGATACTGTTTGAACATGGTTTTTCTAATGTCCTCCAAATTGGCTATTCAGGCTGGAAATTCTGAAAAAAAAAGCATCTTATGGGTCCCAGGCTCCCTTTAAACTACACTACACATGGGGACAACGTACAGATAGTCCTTGACTTACAACAGTTCATATAATGACTGTTCAAAGTTACAATGGCACTGAAAAAAGTGATTTGTGAACATTTTTCACACGTATGACAGTTGCGGCATTCTTACAGTCATGTGATCGAAATTCAGATATTTGACAACTGACCCATATTTGTGACGGTTGCAGTGTCCCGGAGTTATATAATCACCCTTTTGCAACTTTCTAACAAGCAAAGTCAATGGGGAAGCCAGATTCACTTAACCATTTTGTTACTAATTTAACAACTGCAATGATTTGCTTAACGATTCTGGCAAAAAAAAAAAATCATAAAATGGGGCAAAACTCACTTAATAGCTGTCTTGCTTGATGACAGAAATGTTGGGCTCAATTGTGGTTTTAAGTCAAGGACTACCTGTAACATTAGGATGGTTGCAGATTAATGCACTTAAGCCTTGAACTGCTCCAGCTGGATAAAAGGGTATTTAAAAAAGAGGGGGGGGAACAGATATGGCTGAAAGGAACTAACCCCCTTAACTAAGCCAGCCAGTTGATCCTATTCCTGTGCGTTACCTTGGTGCTCTTTTCTTTGTTGCAGCATTAGATGTTCTGCCCCTCAAAACAATATTTTATTCAACTATCTTTTAAAATGTATTATTTATATTCTGTAATGTATATACTGTCCCTTTTGCCCATGTTCTGTAGCTATATTTCCCAATCTCTTTTTTTTTAGGAATACGTTGCAAGTGAGGAAGAAGATGACCCAGAAGTAGAATTTCTGAAATCCTTGACAACTAAGCAAAAGCAAAAACTTTTGAGGTAATCATATCATGAGGATGTAGAGGCTACTAACAAGGGTTATTTCAAAGTTAAAGTTTTGATTTTATTTATTCTAGAATAATTGTGTAGAATATTTAATCGCTGTTTATCCTTCCCCATGATTTTAAGTCCATTATCATTCACTGCTTATTTGAGTGGGATTTGCTGAGAGCTGGGGGCTATTAGGGTTCTGAAATCCCTTCCTCTTGCTTTGCTATGTAAGTACTGTAGCACATTCTTGAATCTTTATATACTTGGCATTTACAGAATGCGATTGCATGATCCTTAAACGGTTCCCGTTATAATACTATTTTATATGCTAATTTGTTATGAGAAAAGACATAAATTACATTGAGTAATTCTATAGTGCAGCTGAAAGATAATGGATTATTTTTTTTTAACAAAAAATAACATTGGGAAATGTGTCATTTGTCCTTAACTAGATCCAACATTAACCTATTCTTATTCTACCGTAGTTGATAGAATTGGCTTTTAGGAAAGTAGAGCTTGTACTTAATTGATCCATTTGTTTTATATTTTATGTTTGTACTACTCTGATTAAATACCTTGTACCTAGTGAATCAGAATCAGATAAATTGAGGATTTAAATCAGTGGTTCTCAACCTTTTTAATGCCGCGACCCCCAACCGGTCGTAAGTCCAGGACTACTCAACCGATCGTAAGTCGAGGACTACTCAACTGGTGCAGAATGGGACTTTTGGCGGGCTCAGCAGGGCAGAAACAGCCTGGACAATTCCTATTGGCTTTTGAAAGCCAATAGAATTAGACTCTATTCAAGAGAGTCTATTCTATTGGCTTTCAAAAGCCAATAGAATAAAAGGGAGTAGCACAGCTAGGGAAAAGGGGAAAAAGATGGCGGACTGCGTTGTTTGGCGACCTCCGTGAAATGGTCGTTTGACCCCAAATGGGGTCCCGACCCACAGGTTGAGAACCACTGGTTTAAATGATAAATAAATATATGCACTCCAGTGTAAGTGTGATGTCTAGGACAGAATGCATGTATCCCTTTGATTATCTCCTCTGCGGGGAGAGGGAAATGAGGCACCCTAAGCAGTGCTTCCTCCACCAGTGTATTAGTGGTAGTTTTTCTCACGAGCTTCCTACAGGTACAGCAGTAGCTGCTAGATCTGGCTGGGAACTCATGTTGACGAACATGTTTCAGTTCACACATTGCTTAGTCCAGGGTTAGGCAACCTTGGCTCTTTTATGACTCGTGGACTTCAACTCCCAGAATTCCTGAGCCAGCCATGCTGAGGGGAAAGGGAGAGGTTTCCAAGCTGAGCCATGTTGGCTCAGGAATTCTGGGAGTTGAAGTCCACGAGTCATAAAAGAGCCAAGGTTGCCTACCCCTGGCCTAGTCAAACTGAGATAATACAGGTAGTCTCTTGACTTACAACCGCAGTTGAGCCCAAAATTTCATTTTTTAAGTCAGACATTCGTTAAGTGGGTTTTGCCCCATGTTACAACTTTTGTTGCCACAGCTGTTAAGTGAATCACTGCAGTTGACAAGTTAGTAACCTGGTTGTTAAGTGAATCTGGCTTCCCCATTGGCTTTGCTTCTCAGAAGGGACACAGCAAAAGTTATAAATATGAACCAGTTTCCAAGCACTTGAATTTTGAGCATACAGTCATGGGGGTGCTGGAAAGGTTGCAACTATGAAAAACCATCATACGTCACATTTTTTTCAGTGCTGTTGTAACATTGAACTGTCACTAAACGAACTGTTGCAAGCTGAGGACCACCTGTAGTGCTCTCCTTTTATAGCAGTCACGATATAAAAGCATGCTTTTTTTTCTGTGATAGGAGTGGAGCCATAATAGTTGGTATCTGAACATTTTAGTGCCTTAGTTTGCTCTATTTTTTTTTTTAAATCACGAACATATTTATTAGATCAGGATATACAATATCAAGGATATTGTAAAAGAGGCAAGTTTGGGGTTTGATTCTTTTTTTAAAAAAAAAAAAGGATTGCACTGTTATATCACCCTGTTTCACTGCTCAATTTTTCTGTGTCCAAAATCAAAGAAAGCTAGATCGCCTAGAGAAGAAGAAGAAGAAGAAGAAGAAGAAAGACAAAAAGAAGAAAAAGCAGCAGAAGCGGAAAAGCAAAAATAAAGACAGAAAACATAAGAGCAGATCCTCTTCCACATCCTCCAGCGAGTCCTCAGCAAGCAGCAGTGATTCTGATGAGAAGGGGAAGAAAAAACTTTACAAAGATCCCTCCAGCAGCCATGATAACAAGGGCAAAGATAGAGAGAAGTCTCGGCTTTTAAAAGAAGGTCCTTCTTGGGAGAACGACAGATGGGGCTCCAGTGAGAGCAAAAGAAATCCCACAAGCAGAAAAGGAAACTCAGAGGGGAGAAAAGAATCGGAACGACCCGGACACGCAAGCAGGAGCCACAGCAAGGGGGAGAGGAGCAGGCAAAGCTCTGATTCAAGGCAGCGGGCGCACAGTCCCCGTGAGGAACGAGACAAGAGTAAGGAAGTAAAAAGCCACAGTTCAGAGGTAAGCAGAGAGCAAAGGAAGCGTAAAGAGAGCCACCCTGATGAATATGGCAAGAGGGAGCACCGAGAAAGAAGCAAAGAGAGGAGAAAATAGAGAAAGTGGATAGCCTGTGCATTTTTTTTCTTTCTTTATTTTTTTTACGCCTCTTGGGAAGGACTCCTGTTGTGCTCTTCTACGTCTCATAAGTTCTCAGAAAAATCTCAGCCTCCTGCTTCAAACATTCTTGAATATATGTTGTATCTATTAGGTAACAAGTAAATAAACACAAACCAGGGTTTTCTTTTGGAATCATTTAATTGAGGAGGTGGAGGGGAGAGGGAAGAAAAGTTATTTGGTACATCTAGCTTTCTTTTGCAATTGATATTAGTGTGCAGAAAAAGGAGTCAGTACTGAAGTTTCAACAATAACATGTTTCTTTCTTTAAAATAATACATCTAGACAAGCCTTGCAAGAAGCAAAAGAAGCTGTTCCAGAGACATGGAATTATTTTGTTTGCATTTAATGTGGTTTGGAATAAAATTCCAGTACAGAGGCATAAAAACTGGGTTATTTTGATCTGAACTTTTAGTTTCTTTTTCGCGGACGTTTTCCTAAGTAAAAGCAACAGAGCAGCATTGTTCAACATATGCCAATATGTTTTGTCCTTGTGAAAGTATATCTTCATCACAGCTATCTAAATATGTGAACTTCCATTGTCAGTTATTTTGCAGCGCTTGAGAAAAGTATTTTTTGTGTTCAGAATTTCTAAGTAATGTGTGCTACAGAAATATAATGTCCATTCCTATCTTATTAAACTGCAGATTGTCATTATTAAGATGTGAAGGATGTGATAGTCCTCATCAGTCGGACATCAAGCAATTTTGCTGTCTTGCTATAGTTTAAATTTTCTTTATTAATGCTTGTTTTTCTGTATTGTTTTGTATCATCATGCTGAGATTTTTGCATAAAAATGAAATGTGACTCACTTTGCAAAACTGAGCTGTGATGTATGTTACATCTTTACCTTTTATCATAAGTTTTATAATAAAACTTATACAATTAAACTCCGTGGCCTTTGAATATGAAGTGGTAGTATTTTCACAGAATGAAAATACATTCTATGGCCTTATTAATATTATCAATAAAAATAATATATAAACTAGATAGTGCTGTTTTTCTCTCTTACTTGAAAATTACAATCCTTGACTTTCTTGTAAACATTGGGGCTAGTGGTGAAATTGAACAGTTCTTATTTCTTGTATACAATGTTTCTGAATGATAAAATGCATATCTAGCCTATCCCAGTAAGTATGAAAACATCTATCACATTAGTTTAAAATAATAATAGTAGAAGTTAATATTAAGAGAGGATCTTTCAAGGAAACTCACTACTGTATCACCACCACTGTTTGTTATTGCACGGATTCCTTTGTCAGCAATACTGAAAAAGTCAGGCCATGGCTATCAAACATCAAAAACACCTTCCAGACTTTCCCACTTGCTTTACATAGATGACCTGAAGCTCTTTGGACAATCACCATCTGAAAAAGAATCACTTCTCAACACTGGTCATATATACAGCCAAGATATTGCAAAGGAGTTTGGATTGGAAAATGTGCCACCCTCACCATCTACAGGGGAAAAATAGTGAAAACGGAAGAAATCAAGATGCTCTATGGAAATAACATCAAGAGTCTGGACGAAGAAGATCACTACAAATATCTGGGCATTGTTCAAGCTGGTAACATCAAGCAGGCCGAAGTCAAGAAGAAGCTTGATCTTAGTCCAAATTCAGTGGAGGAAATACCATCAAGGCAATTCCATTTATTAGATACACAGCTGGAATAGTGGATTGGACTCAAACAGAACTAAAAGCCCCGGATAGGAAGACCAGAAAAATAATGACAGTGAATCATGCCCTTCATCCACACAGCAATGTTGACAGACTCAACTTAAAAAGGAAAGTAGATGGATGTGGAATGTTGCATAAATACACCAGATAGTTGAAGGCAAAAAAAAAAAAAAAAAGGATATTGGAAAAATATCTGAAGGACTGAAGAAACTGCACTGAAGTTAGTATACCATGAAGATTTACTGACTATAGAAGAGATCAACCTGGCCTACAAGAAACACCAAATGAAAAAGAGAAGAGACATGTTGGTTTGTTTCTAAGATGACACAAGGGTAAGCATTTAACAGGAAACAACTGTGGCTTATTTTTCTGGCTTGTATATTTGAGAACACAGAAGAGAGGAGGAAGCATTGTTCAGCAAAATCTGTGTTTCAGCCCTGTAAAATGTTGTGACCCCACTTTGAAAAGGCCTTTGGAATAACAGATAAGTAGTACCAGACATCTTATTTCTTTTTCTTCGCAAAGAATAGCTCTCTTTTTTTCTCCCATTCATGCAGCATATATATACATATATGTGGTAGGTAGAAAAGGGATATTTGTTTCAGCCTTGTCTGTGCTGGCAACATGCCACCCAGCTGCTGCTGTAACATTTCTCTCACACAAGAGGATTAAGTGTACTGGTCCTTCTATTCTTAGCACGCATTTCTCTGTGTTCTGTTCTTGGTTACTGTTTAGGTCAGTTTAGAGAGATGTGGGTGAGCATGTGCCTATAATTTTGTGCTCCTGTTGAATAGAAAGCCTTGATTCTGCCATTCATCTGTCTCCTTCATTCACTAAGCTGGGTATTTCTCTCAACAGAAACCAGACTAAAAATAATGCCCAGCGTACAGGTAACTTTGGCATCCTAGAACTGAGAATCTTATGCTATACAAGGAACTGCTGCCATTCTTGTATTTGCCTGATTACTTTCCAAGATTCCCTCCAGTGCTAAGCAGCAAACATTCACATCCCCTAAGGAGGTGTTTTTTTTTTTTTTGACAAAGTGACACCCTGAAAGATGCTCAGATATTTTAAACACACTTTGCAAGGTTGCTCTTTCAATATTGAGAAACCTTGGAAGGTGATTTGGAAGAGAACATCGAAGATTTAAGTGCAAAGGCTTTATTTTAAAGATAAAAGACTGTGGCATTAGAAAACTGATTTAGACTAGTACTGTAACAGAACTTATCTCGTGAAAGAGGTGAGCTGGTAGTGATGGATGATACAAGGCACTGAAGTTCCAGAGCACGCATTTGGATTTCTGATGTTTTTTGCAAATCTAACACTGTGATTGCAAGTACTTTGTTAAAAATCAGCTGTAGACAATGGTTGAAAAAAGAAGGAAAAAGAAAACGGACACAAAATTGCCTCTTTGGAGACTTGCTGCCTAGCTGTATGAACTTGACAATATCAAATTAAACCCTGTAGGAGGTGCTGTTGGTTTACAAATGTGCAGAAGCATCTCTGATTAGAATTAGAATTTGTTTAAAACTTACAAATATAGCAGTCCCGCTCCTAGCCACAAGATGAAAGTGGTGCATGGTACATTTTTGGCAGATCTCTACCCACAGAACACTTATGAGAAAACAGAACAACCTGCAGTAATAACTTTCTGCACCTAACTTTAAAAAAAGAGTCCATGATAGCATCTCCTAAATATACAAATCTGAGAAGAAAGGATGTTCCACAATCTTTTTTTCCGCAGAAAAAATGCTAGATATGGTTCTTGCTTCAGTCTAAACAATACCCCAAATGTATTGTTTTCCTAGACATGTTTTCTCTTCTTTATTTTAAGTATGATTGCCTTCATTGACCCAATTTTCTGAATTAGCAGAAATAGTACACTCTGTACGTACAGGCTAGATTCACAAGGCTAACACTGAAATCTTCTGAAGCAACTTCCCCCAGTCCCCAACTTGAGGCCTAGTTGAAGATGTTTGGGAAATTCCAGAATCTCCTGATCTAGAGATACTCGGAACAGAAATGCTACTACACATCTAAAAGGTACAAGGTTGGAAAATTTCTCCAGGACATATTTACCAAATCTACATGTACTTCTACATGTACATTGGGCTTCTAGTTAAGCTAGAGCAGAGGTAGGCAACCTTGGCTCTTTTATGACTCGTGGACTTCAATTCTGGGAGTTGAAGTCCACGAGTCATAAAAGAGCCAAGGTTGCCTACCCCTCAGCTAGAGTCTTCTGCTTCTTGACCGGCTGATGCCATTTGGTTATTCTGGAACAAGGATCTTGAGACACTGTTCCTTATTAGGCATCAGAAATTAGATAACCCGAAGGTATTTTTGTGAGGGGAGGGGGCAGAGGGCATTTAAGTTTTAGTCCCCAAAGCATCAAAACATCTCGACTCTTGGAATCCTGCATACTGCTTAAACCGGCTTCATGCTAGCTATTTATTTATTACGAGCAACTCTAGGCAGTTTAACAAGCCATGGCTGCTGGTAATTGCATTTTAGGAGTCAGGATTATTTCTTCCTGGCTATGCTAGGAACTTCAACAAGTATTTGCAGGGCAAATCAAGGGGCCTGGTCCTCAAGCTCATAGGAGCCCTCACATTTAGACACCTGTTTTGCCTTTAAAACATTCAAATTAATTATTACTCTAGGAGGGTAACAGCTCTTTACTATGATCACTGTACTTCTGTTTTCACACTTAACACGGAAAGGCTGGGAAATAATTCCTGGTTTTTCTGTCTGTTGTTTACTGAAGGATGAGCGCTGCCGGAAAGCAGCGAGGAGGTTTGTCCTTCTGCATCTTTCTAAACCCGATTCCAAAGTCAGCCAAATCGGAGTTGCAAGAACACCTCTTTGTTCGCAGGTATGTCAAGAGAAGGCTGCCTTTTGCAGACTAGATATTAACAGATTTTAGAGCGGTGCTGAAGACAAAAAGGGTGCCTGCCGTTAATTCTCTGTAGAGCCTGGCAAAGGAGGAGGAATTCAGCCGACAGCGCCAGAATTTAGATGGTAAAGGAGAATGAATTATTACTAATTGAAAGGTGAATAAACAGGTGACTTTTCAGCTCAGATTCCCTCTTGGATCGTTGCAATAAATATCCCCGAAGGAAACTCTCTATTTATGTTGTCATTGATTAATGCTCGCTACCTCATTTGATTTCGATTTAGAACGATTTGATTCTAATTTAATTAGCATGTAATTTGGATGTACATAATTACTGTAATTATGACGTTCAGGTAAGGCAGCTTTAGGCTGAAAGGCAATTTAAAAAAAAAATAATCTTTCGTCCCCCTCTCCCCGCAGCAAAACCCTATTTTGTAGTAGGGAATGGACAAGGACTTTGCGCCCTGCTCTCCAAGTATGTAATTAACACATCTCGGAAACAGGCAGCTCCAGGAGATGGGCTTTAAAACCGCGGCGAGCCGAGCCCAAATTCGCTCGGGCGCGCCGGAGGAGGCGGAGTCTGTTGGGTGGAACCACTCCGGGTTGTTTTCATAGATGACCGCCCCGCGAAGCGAAGCTTCCGCCGACCTTCCCCTCGTGTGGCCTGGCTGTGGAAACACGGGGGGGGGGGAGTTGCTAAACTCTGCGTGTAATGCTGGCTAGGGTTCGGAGAGCGACGCCGGCAACGGTCCGCTCTGATCTTCCTTAAAGTTTAGAAAGTGAGGGTTTTTTTGCGCGCGGGGGGGGCGGGCGAACGGAGAGCTCCTCTCCTCAATTTAAAAAAGAGATAAGCGCGACGTTGTCTCCTTCTAAGCAATCTATGACGCTTGTAGGTGGAGAAGAGGATCCACAGCGAGGGAAATGGGGTTTTTTAATAACTAGCACAAGTGTGGCCTTTCTTACAGAAGACCCGATCTCCTGTCAAGCGATTGGTCAGGTTCCTCCCACCTCCACCCCATATTCTCTTCCGGCTTCCCCACAACTTCTGCTGGGGCACCATGCGCTCCTGGGGAATCAATGTCTGCCGCCCGTTTATCTAAAAGCTAGCACGGAGACTTTCGTCGGGCTCCGATTCCAAACTCTGGGTTGTTCAAGGGCGTGAGGCGTCAGTGGAAATTGGAGGCGCGCTTCCTTGATAGAATTCTGAAATGTGCAGGGTTTTGGGTATGTGTGTGTGTATGTTAAGCAAGGAATTACAAAATCACCTCTTAATTATAATTTGTCTCCCCCCCCTTTAATTTGGCACAAAAACTATATGGAGGGGAAATAAGCAGTGGGGTACCACAAGGTTCCGTCTTAGGCCCAGTACTCTTTGATATCTTCATAAATGACTTTGCAGATGACACTAAACTGGCAGGA